ATATGCCTCGAAAAACTCTGCAACTCGCTCTCTCAACTCCTTTGCCCTGCCCCCCTCCCCACTTTCAAATCCCACCTAAAGACCTTCCTATTTAATCGTGCTTATGGTCACCTCCCCCTCCCACTCTCCTACTCGGGGTCAGACTCCACAACTGTCAAGCGCTCCGGGACACTACCCTGCATGAAGGGCGCTGTATAAATGCAACTTGTCACCATCAGTGGCCTTCAGCCTTTCTGCCCCCTCTCTTGCTTCCCTCAAGGCTCATCTGAAAACCGTCCTCTTTGACCATGCTTTCGCTCACCTTCCCATCCCCACCCCTTTGCCCTTCATCTCTCTTGATTCCAACACCTAGCTTGAGTGCAAATCCTTCAATGTCCAGCACCATTGACAAGACGGAAGCCATACTCTTCGGCTCTCGTCAACATCTAAAATGCCATGGTGCTCACCTCCTGCACCTACCCGACCTCCCACTGAAACTCTGAACCCGTACGCAACCTAGGCACCAGATTTGACCCCCAATTATCCTTCCTCCCCCATATCCGGTCCCTCACCAGCACCGCCTTTTTCCACCTCCGTTGCATCACCCGTCTCCACCAATATCTCTCCCCAAAAGCCGCTGAAACTCTGGTCCATGCCTTTGTCACCTCTCGGCTGGACTACTCTAATGCCCTGCTCACCGGCCTCCCGTCCACTACCATTCATAAAATCCAACTCATTCAGAACTCTACCGCCCGCATTCTCACCCGCACAAAACTCCGCTCCCCGATCACCCCAGTCGTTGCCAGACTGCACTGGCTGCCTATCCCAGAGAGGATCGACTTCAAGATCCTCACCCTCGTATTCAAGTCTCTGCACTCCTCTGCACCCCCCTACCTCTCTGACCTCCTCTCTCCTCGAAAACAGTACCCGTTGCCTTCGTTCCTCCGGGTCTGGCCTCCTCCTCGTCTCCCGAGTACTCCGCTCCACCCTCGGGGGGCCGTGCCTTCAGCCACGAGGCTCTGGAACTGCCTTTCTCACTCCCTTCATCTCATTCCCTCCCTTCTCATTTTCAGGTCTCTGCTGAAGACCTTTGTTTTCGACCGCGCCTTTGGTCACCTTCCTCCCCCTCCCCCTGGCTCGGCCCCGGGATCCGTTACTGTAAAGCGCTCTGAGACACCGTCCGGCGTGGAGGGTGCTATATAAATCCAAGTTGTTGTTGTTGAGACATGCTCCAGATGTGAAAGATATTATACAAATGCAATTTTATGTTTTTGTTGGAATTAGGTAAGCAGGTGCATCCCTCCTAACTCCACATGCCTAATAATAATCCCTCCACAACAAAACAATAATAAACTGGTCATTTTAATCCACGACTGTTTGTGGGACACTGCTGTGCGCAATTGGCTGCCGCGTTTCACCCACAAATATACAGTCAATTCACTTTACAGCATATTCTGTGAAGCGCTTTAAGACTCTCGAAGACGTGAAAAGTGCTACATCAAATGCAAGGATTATTATTATTATTACAAGGAGAGTGTGCATTCCATTCCAGACACAAAAATGGCCATATATAGGTAGGTGATGTGCATTGAACTCCATTTGGTTTGGATACTTTTAAGCATGGTTGTGGCTTTTTACATGTGTCAGACACATGGCTGACCAAAAAAAAATGGATGAAGAAATAGTAGACAAAGATTGAGTCATGCAGGAATCTACTTGCAATGTGATTACAGTCTGCACAAGGTTTTTACAACCTGATCCTAAAATGCAATCATTGTGTAAAATGCCACATCAGCACAATGTCAGCACAGAAGCTGTCACAGCTTTTCTGCTTAGTCTGTACCACACAGATTGGTTTGGATGGCCCTTCAGCCCATCTGATCTCATCCTTCCAGAACACCCACCCTACCATCCTCAGATCACATTAAGTTGCTTTTTAAATGAAGTACATGCAGGAGTTTGTGCTCCATATGAGCTAACATCATCCCCTAACCCCATATTTCCTTCTCCTTCATGTGTGCATTTTGGCAACACATGAAAAATTAACCCCTCAGGCTTGGAAATTGTTTCAATAAGCATTTGTTAATGCTAAGATGTTAATATTAAAATGGTTTTGATTCAACCTTTTTTTGTCAGCTAGATGTCTGACACATTAAACCCATTGACATGCTTCACGAGCCAAACCAAGCTGAGAATTCCATGTATCCCACCTACACATGGAAATCCCAGAGAGAGATTGTTGGAATAGAATGCTCACTCACTAGTTGATCATTTGACACCTGACAAGTGTGCGTTTGAGCCCTTGTGAGGTGGAGGGTGGGTACCAGAAACTCCTGTGAGCTTACTGATGAAATGCGTGAGCAGTTTGACACTGCAAGGATTGTAAGGAAAGAGTTAAAATCATTAATGGTCAAAGACTATCACTGAATCAACAGCATATCTGGATATCTAAGAGGATGAACTAGCTGCCACTGTTGATTGATAGTTTGTTAGTTTGATATGTGATTTAGTAGCTCTCATCTCAAAATGTGTTAGGGCCTGGCAAATTAGGACAAGGGTGTCAGAATGTCTCTGACCAAATGTTATCTCCTGACCCGTTAAGAGTATTTTGTTTATGACCAAGAAACATATAAGGATGTTGCGGCATCCTAGAGTGTTTTATGGCCTTACAACAACAACAACAAAATTACATTTATAGAGCACCTTTCACATCGGGAGGATGTCCCAAAGCGCTGAACAGTCAGATGTTGGGGCCCGAGCATGGGGGAGGTAGGTGTGAGGGAAGGCAGAGAGGTGGGAGGGAGACCAAAGGCACGGTCGAAGAGAAGGGTCTTGACACCGGCCTTGAAGGATGCAAGGGAGGAAGTGAGGCGAAGGGACCGTGCGATGGAGTTCCAGAGTATGGGGGCAGAGAGGCTGAAAGCCTGGCCACTGATGGTAGGGTGGGAGACATGGAGCAGGCCAGAGTCTGATGAGTGGAGGGAGTGGGCAGGTTGGTAGGGAGTCAGCAGGTCAGAAGGGTAGGAGGGGGCAAGGCCATGGATGGCCTTAAAGATGAGGACGAGGATCTTGAACTCGATCCTCTGGGGGATGGGGAGCCAATGAAGTCGGGTGAGGGTGAGGGTGGGAGTGATGGGGTCACGAGCCTGGTGCGTGAGAGTACACGAGCTGCAGAGTTTTGGATGATCTGCAGCTTGTGAAGGGAAGAGTTGGGAAGGCCGATGAGGAGGGAATGCCCGTAATCAAGCCTTGAGGTGATGAATGTGTGGGTGAGGGTTTCAGCAGCCTGAGGGGTGAGGCAGTGGCGGAGTCTGGCAATGTTGTGGAGGTGGTAGTAGGCAGTGCCGGTCATGGCGTGGATGTGGGGGAGAAAGGACAGTTCAGGGTCAAACAAGACACCCAGGTTCCTGACTGGCTTAGTGAGGTTACAGTGTCTATTATGGTGATGCATTGTTCATTTTATCTTTTGAACTCTGCTCATTAGTAAATAACTTACACTGGTCACTTATGCCCTCCACTGTGTAGTTGGACAAAAAACCTTTGAACTGTGATTGACCAAAACTAGTTCTGAAGTATGGTTGGATGACCTAACTTCCCCCTCCACCTCTGCATGCAATAATCATGTGCCCAGATTTTGGGGTTGGAAAAGGAAATTTACTCCCAAAACCTTTAGAGCGTGTCTTTTAAACAGAGCTCGCCCAAAAGACTGCCAAAACTCTCCCAGAAAAAAGGTATACTTGATTTCTGTTTTTTTCAAATAGATATTAGATATTGACCAATATTCTTCTGTTATTTGACAATCCGATTAATAAATTGTGATTATAACCCTTTTGTGTCGACATTGGAGTTATTCTTGTGTTCCAGTATAAACCCTACACCACCATCCTCCTGCCACAACTCAGCTTCCACTAATTGGAGGTGTAGAGCTTCAGTAGCAGCTGTGTATTTGAGTGGGGGAGTTTCCTCGGCCTCGACAATTGATGCCCAGTCAAGGACAGTTCGTACTTTACAAAAAGGCTACATCTTGATAATTGCAAATTTTGTGAAGTAAATGATGGGTGAAGAACATTATGTGAAAGACTGAGTCACATTCCAACAACTTGTGGTGTGGTTAGCGCGCTCGTCTCGCAAGCAAGAAGACTCAGGGTTGATTCTCGGTTTACCTAGCAGTAAGTAGGAACCCACTTGTTAGTCAATTGGCAGATCGATTTACCCAGTAATAATCTCTTGAAAAGAAAAATTAAATCCACGTTTGTTTATGGGGTGCTGCCGTGCACCATTGGCTGCCGTCTTTTGCTCACAAATACAGTCAATCTGCTTTACAACATATTCTGTGAAGCGCTTTGAGTCGTCTCAACTACATGATAAGCCGCTATATCAAATGCAAGTATTATTATTATACTTTTTTTGCAGTGCTCAGACCTCTTCCAGTACTCAAAAAACTTTAGCAAAAAGGCAACTTTTTTCTGTAATGGAGGGCTGAATTATCTCCTTCCTTGATATAAATCACGGCAAAATCACCAACGAGATTAACCTGTGAATCTGGATACACACCTCAACTCTTTCACTGCACCGTTTGCATCTCAGTTCTCTGCTAGTCCCACTGAACAATACCAAACCACAAGAAGGTACAACTGTGCCAATGTTGAGCTTTGTTTATTTAAAAAAAACAAAAAGTTACCCTCATTGGGAAATTCCCCATGCAACACGGTTATGATCCTTCTGTCTCCTGCTGAGCCAGACTTAACCTGAATATTGTAATACATTAAGTTGACAATGCAGAAAACAAACATTCTGCCCAAATAATTCATTGGGAAATTCTCCGTGCAACAAGGTTATTGTAGAGCATGATCCCGTCTTCCAATCAGATGATTAAACCTGTATTTATTTTTGGTCAGCTGGGTGTCTGACAAAACCTTAACCTGAATAATTCAACATTCTGCCCATATAATGGTGCAACCTGTATTGGGGGTTGGGAAAGGAGGGCAAGAGGGCTAGGTAAAGAAAAAATAACAAGAACATTTTTTTTTTTGACAATACCTATTTAATAGTGGCCTTTTGTTTTCTTGCTCATATACAGAAAAATGGTTTCTTCACTTAACATTCAATTCAAAATGAATAACAATGAACTTTGGATGTCCGAATTGATTCAAACACACTGCAATAATTTCTCCGTGTAATGGTTTTATAGCAACAAGCAGCCCAAACTAAGACAACCAAGGTTTATGGATTGATCCAATGAAAACTTACATACATATTTAAAAAATGGCTAGGACTAAAAAATATATAGACAACCTGCAGATTGTGTCAAGTGCAAAAAAAAAAGTATTGGAGCTGCTTTTTTGTTTTTTTAAAAAAAAAATTTCAGTCACTACACTAGTAGCCAGCTTTTTTCTAAATTCTAGGATTTGCACATTCATGCCAATACATTTTACGGAAGTAAAAATGCCATTAAATCTTCAGCAGAAGAGAAGGTTTAACACAAAGACAGAGGACCCTTGACACAGTGTAAGATTCGGGTAGCTGCTAATATACCTACATCTGGAATTGTACTGCAGGTGGCATTTGAATTTGAAAGTCAATTATCAATGAACAATAGTAATTTACAACACAGACTGTCCACTGTGTCTGTGCTGGCTCTTTTAAGAGAAATCCTTTCATTAACATTTATCTGTTCTTTCCCCAAACTTGCGTCAGTTATTTCAACCTAGAGATTCTAAGTTCTGACGAAGGGTCGTGGATCCAAAACGATGACTCACTTTCCTTTCTAGCTCTCTCTGTTTTTGTTAGATTCTACCCTTCAACTCCATTTGATCTTGGAGGCAATGAAATGGGAATTATTTATTACATTATTACTTTCTACAAAAAGTCAAGCATCAAATTCAGCATACACTCGCAGATCCCAACATTTTGGAAATTGTCAATGAGGTCAGTTGGGTCTTTTTTCTAAAAAAAACCTTCAAAAGGAAAAATTGTAATTAAGCAAACTACAATTTTTATTCATCCAACTACATTTAGCAAAAGACGTTTATACATTATTCAAAGGCCAAAGAGTAAAAATGCTATTGTGCAAATCACTTTGAGATATAGGTTACACTTTGAAGAAATATTTTTTGCTTATTGTCAGCTGGTGGAAGATTGCAATTTAATTTTAAAATGAATGCAACATTCTTCGCCCTGTTTAATCCCCATCCAGTGGGAAAAAAGTCACTGGTACACACTGCAGTGTCCATAGAAGTTTTGAAACATTTCCCATTATGAATCTTTACAGTTACAGTAAGGTTGAAAGCCCTTTGGTGCCAGGAATGATTAACAAAGTCAGATTTCTTCAGCCACTGAGTCAATGGATTTTGTGTTACTGTTCTTCACACCAGTTTACCAAAAAATAGCAAGAAAGTTCAAAAATTCTCATCTTCGCATGAGAAGAACATCAAGTTCCAGCAGTCTGGAAGTCTGTCTAGTTCAAGTACTGAAAAGAAAACTATTTACATAAATTGAGTTACGCTTTCCATCATATACTTATGTACAGTGACTCCTCTATTGTTTCTGGTCCTTCAAACCTTTCTTGCTCAGTCAGTTTGCTCGCAACATCTCCTGGTCGTTTGTAATAAAATTCAGCATTGTGAACACCAGCTCTGGAAGATCATACTCGTGCTTCCAGTTCCAGTCTCTGCGAGCATTGCTGTCATCAAACTCCATAGGCCAGCTGTCAGCTAAAGGACAAAGAGCAAGCATCAACACTAGTGCAAATGCAGCTTCGGAAAGCCAAGTTATCAGTAATTTCATCAGTTCCATCAGGAAATGCATTGAAAAATTGACAACATCAGAAAAGTAATTTTAGTATTCAGACAGCTATCCGTTGTGCAAAGGTAGAATGCATACATATTCACCAATTTAAATTAGAATAATTTAATATATAAATATTCCAAGTACTATGGAAACTGGATATCATGCCCTATGACAGAGCACTGCCCCGTTTATAGTATGGGTTTACATTGGACCTTAGCTAAGTAGAAACACACAACCAACATCTTTCCAGTGCTAGAAAATGGCTGACTTGAAGATTATTAGGTCACCACTGACCTCACTTCCTACTTGTTTGTACCATTAGTGACACTTTCCTGCAAGAGCAGGACTTCCTGCTCATACTGTAGAAGAAGTGCTGTAAGCAGCACTTCCCCTATGTGTACAGGAAGTGATGTTAACACTTCTCATCATAGTATGGAGAAAGTGATATGAACAGCACTTCCCTTCATAGTGTGGAGGAAATGATGTTAACAGCACTTCTTCTCACTCTGGAGGAAGTGACATTAGCAGCACTTTCTGTGCATGCAACAAGCGGCGGCAATCTCATAACCTGACAGTCAGACATCGCTCTTCCACTAGTTGGTGAAACATTGGACCCAACTGAATTTACTGTTTGTTGGTGTATAGTATTGACATAGGCCTATTGTATAGTATTGACACAGGGAATAGAATTGAATATTCAAGTTTGGTATTTACTTTTGACTATAAGATGTTTATATTTTCGGCCTTTATTTAAAAAACCTCGGGGGAGGAGAGAAATGCTAGATCTCCTTGGAACTGAACTGGCTCCAACATTACACATTTGGTAAGAGAATGTCAGAATCAAGTAACTTCTCTGTGGTGGTCTCAGTAGTTTGGTTCCTAACCCAGGCGAGTTCGCTGTATTCTAGGGCACTGCTGATAACAGCCCAGCCAGCCTGGCTCAGCGTCAGGATTTCAAAGAACAAACCAGGTACTGGGAGCAGGGATTCTTTCCACTAATCCCTGGTAACCCAGCAAGTCAAAGCCCTAAAGGGTTGGGCGGTCCTAGCTGGACAAGCAGCAGGAAGGCTTGCAAAACAGTGTTATCAATGGGAAGTTTTGCAGTTTTATCTGGTTAAATTCGAGTAGTTCCCCCCCAATGCACACTCTAGGTCTCAAAGCCCTGGTTATTGCTAAATTGTGCCTCTGGAATTAGGTAAGCAAGATGAGTCCAGATACAAAAATGTCCAGGTGTAGGTGGCATTCGTAGAACTTTCAATCTGGCTTGGATTCCCTTAACCTTGGTCATGGTTTTCCAAATGTATCAGACACCCACCTAAGCAAATTAAAGCCAAGTTTTGTTTTCCTTTAAGAAATTACACCCAACTATTATAATAGCTAAACCAAATGAACACCCCTCCCACACTTACCAATTTCCTGCCGTACTTTATCAACCTTGTAAGTGATTTTAAGGTCTGTCAGGTTCTTTCGGACTTCAGTCACTAGCTCCTCAGGAGTGAAGCTCATCGCACTGATATTGTAAGTTCTCATTGTGAGCTGCTCTGCTGGTGCTTCGAGGATTTCCAGTGTTGCACGCAAACAGTCTTGTATGTACATCATGGGAAGCTTTGTTTTGGGTTCCAGGTAACACTCAAACTTCCCGGTCTTGACAGCATCGTGGAAAATTTGGACTGCATAGTCTGTAGACAAACAAAGCAATCATGTCATCAATGAACAGTAGTTTACATTTGTAAAGGGTTTTTCATATTGGAAGGATATTCCAAAATGCATTCAGAGAGCTGGATGGCATCCAATCTTAACGGTAAGAGTGGGCTGAGGGGGGTAGAGAGGGGAAACATAACTGATAGCGGGTTCAGAAGTACATTTTAAGATGCATCTTGAAAGAAGGGAGGGAACGAGTTGGTCACAGGATCAATTTAAATGATTACCTTCATGTTTCAGTTTAAGAAACTTCACCAAAAAAATTTAGCTGAACCAGTCCACAATACACAATAATCCCTCTTGGAAAGCTGGGAATGTCATCCACACAACCAGAAGCTAGGCTTAATTTCCTTTTTCCTGGATTATATAGCGCCTTTCACATTGGGTGGATATTCAAAAGTACTTGACATTTTTGGATGGTACCCAAGCTGGAGCTGGGGTCAAGGGGCTGGGGAATGATGGTCCAAAATACAGTCAAGAGGAAAAGGTCTTGAGGCAGACCTCAAAGAAGGTGAGGGATGGGTCGAGTCAGAGGGACTTCAGGATGGAGCTCTAGTGAGCGGGGGAGATATACCGAAAGCCCGACTGCCAATGGTGGGGCAGGAGATATGAAGGAGACCGGTGCCTGCTGAGCGGAGGAAGCGGTAGGGTTTAAGGAGATCCCAGAGGTGGAGTGGGAAAAGACCATGGAGGGAAACCACCTGCAAACATGCCCTGAAGAGGTGGTCTTCATTCAAAAATTCTCTAGTTGAATTTTATCACTCGTCAATTTCATTTCCAAAAAACCAACAACAAATTACATTTGTACAACTCCTTTCACGTCGGGAGGATGTCCCAAGGTACTGGACAATTAGGGATTTGGAACTGAGTAGGGGGTTGGTATCAGGAGAGATGAAGGGCAGAGAATGTAGGAGTAGGAGGGTAACCGAAGGCACGGTCGAAGAGGAGGGTCTTGAGACAAGCTTTGAAGGAGTCAAGGGAGGTAGCGAGGTGATGGGACTGTAGGATGGAGTTTCAAATACAAGATGTTGCAGTAGCGTCCCAGTTAAGGAAACGTTTTTTTGAAATTAAGCTCAATTTGGATGTTTTGACTCAATTAGGCGGCAACTGAAATGCATTCTATCCCACATACTGAGTTTCCTAATGGGGCCACTTTGCTTTAAGTTGCACAGCAGACAGAGTGAAGTCAAACTGAAAGCTTGCACAACAAGACAGAGCCAAGTTGAGTTAGTGGTAGACACATTTTTATAAGAATTTTAAACTAAACAAAAATACCTGTGACATAAATCTGTTTAGATCTCCTCCAAGAGTCCTTGACTATAAATCTGTATACAATCCAATACAAATCTTATAGATGCTTGTACTTGTTGGGAATAGTATTCATATTGATGAGGTCAATTTTGCTAACGTCAAATTTTAAAACCTGTATTTAAGTGCATAACAGAAGGAAGCTTCACCAGAAAATATGAGGCTTTGTGAGACATGATATTAACTGCTTCTGAAAATAAGTTAGCCACATACTCAGCCTTGCAGTCTCTCATTGCCTCTCAATTACAGTAGAGCTGTAGGTTTATTAGTACTCTGTGCTGAATCAGCGTGTAATTGGAGAAATTGGCTAGCTTTTCAAAATTTACTGAAATCTTATCTCCTGTATATTTATGCTGTTTTATACTTCAAACCTTTGTGCTCCCCACCCAAGTGAGCTACAACAACAACAACAACATTACATTTGTATAGCGCCTTTCATGTCGGGAGGATGTCCCAAGGTGCTGGACAGTGTACAGCATTTCAGACCCGAGCTGGAGTCAGGGAGGGAGAAGGGAGGGGGGTGATCGATGGCATGGTCGAAGAGGAGGGTCTTGAGGTGAGACTTGAAGGAGGCTAAGGAGATGGTCAGGCAGAGTGACTGGGGGATAGAATTCCAGAGGTTGGGAGCAGAGTGGCTGAAGGCTCTCCCGCCATGGAGCAGGCCGGAGCCAGCTGAGCAGAGGGAGCAGGCGGGTTGGTAGGAGGTTAGGTCGCAGAGGTTAGGTGGGACGAGGCCATGTAGTGCTTTGTAGGTGAGGACCAGGATCTTGAACTGGATCCTCTGAAGAATAGGGAGCCAGTGGAGTCGGGTGACAATGAGGGAGATGGGGTCATGGAGTTTGGTGCAGGAGAGGACACGGACTGCAGAGTTCTGGATTATCTGCAGCCTGCGGAGGGAAGAGTTGGGAGGCCGACAAGCAGGGCGTTTGCATAGTCGAGCCTGGAGGTGATGAAGGAATGAACAAGAGTTTCAGCAGCCTGAGGGGTGAGGTAGTGGAGAAGTTGGGCGATGTTACGGAGGTGAGGGAAGGCAGAGTGGGTCATGGCTTGGATGTGGGGAAGAAAAGACATCTGAGGATCGAACAAGACACCTGGGTTCCTGACTGGCTTGGTGAGTTGTAGTGTGCAACCATGGAGGTTGATGCTGCCAGAGCCTGAGGTGCAGAGACGCTGGCACGAGCCAATCCGGAGGGCCTCAGTCTTGCTATTCTTCATTTGTGAGCCTGGACAGTGTGTTGATGACAAGTTACTTGACTACAGGGGAAGGATGAGATCTCAGCCAAGCTTCCTCCTGCAGATAAAGGCAGGGTATCTGCAGAAATGATGCCAGGATACCTTAGGCATCGAAAGTCCAAGTCATACTTTTGATGGTAATACTGTGGATAACAACGATAGTGATATTTTAAAACAATCATTGCGCTTGATAGTCTTAAATTAGGAGAACTCAAAAGTGCTTCGCAAGATTTAAAGTGAAGTGAGTATATTTTGTTAGCAAACAGTTAACTAACTGATGGGGAGGGGGCTGAAAGCCAAGGTAATTGGAACTAACCCTAACCAGACTGTCCATTAGGGTCATGAAATAGAGACAAGACATAGGAACCCGAATATAGCTCCTCTGCTGAAATCAGCAACTCAACATAGACTGGCATCAAACTTGGGATTTTCTGGTGTACTTGGCTCATCGCTACACCATGCAGTGCATTAATTCAGTGATGTCAAAGCAAATATTCCAATGTACTGTAAATCTCTTTTCACCTGATCAGAGTACCTAAAGTATGATTCCCTCAAATTGGGGCATGACAAAAGACTATTAAACCCTAATGTAGTAACTCAGAAACCAAAGGGGAAAAACGACTACATGTAAATGCAAAAAAATATAATATTCAGATACAACATACCTGTTGTGCCACCACCAGGCAGGGTATCTGCAGAAATGATGCCAGGATACCTTAGGCATCGAAAGTCCAAGTCATACTTTTGATGGTAATACTGTGGATAACGACGATAGTGATATTTTAAAACAATCATTGCGCTTGATAGTCTTAAATTAGGAGAACTCAAAAGTGCTTCGCAAGATTTAAAGTGAAGTGAGTATATTTTGTTAGCAAACAGTTAACTAACTGATGGGGAGGGGGCTGAAAGCCAAGGTAATTGGAACTTTTACTACATCCAACAATGATCAATTATTAACATTTGATTAGATCTATTAACAATCTACAACATACTCTGATCAATCTCACATCTGAGACATATTATGTCCAAAAATTGTAGCTTCCCCTCTCCCCCCCAAAGAGGAACACAAATTTAAAGATTATTCATTTATTGCATTTGAACTCAAGTCATACAATCTCTGCTCATCATAATTCTCCCACCTCCAAGCAATCCCCTAATTCAAGGTTCCTATATTGTTGTCCTATCTTTATGGTGAGATATAGAATCTCCTTTATCAGCAGACTTCCATCCTTTTAAATTAGCCCCTTTTAAATATATTGTAACCAACTTTGAGTACTGGTGGGGTGGAAGTTCCACTGGGGTGAAGCCTTCATTGAGTTAAGTTACAAATATTGTGAAGGCGATATTAAGTTGCCAGTCTTCATCCCAGCAAAATGCAATGATACAGGTGGTTTTTTTGTGTGTATATATTATATTACGTAGAGATCCATTTACCTCGCCCATTAGCTCAGCGTGCACCTTGGAAACCCCATAGATCGTCCGTGGTCTCTGCACACAGAGATCAGGAGTTGGGTTCCTGGGTGAAGTTGGTCCAAAAGCACCAATCGTGCTGGGAACAAATAAACGAAGGTTGTGCTCAGCAGCAATATCCAAGATATTGTGCAGACCTGCAATTGGAACAAAAACAATAATAATAATAATAATCCTTGCATTTGATATAGCGCTTTTCACGTCGGAAGGACGTCCCAAAGCGCTTCACAGAACACACTGTAAAGTGAATTGACTGTAAATTTGTGGGCGAACGCGGCAGCCAATTGCGCACAGCAATGTCCCACAAACAGTCGTAGATTGAAAATGCCAATTTTATTATTGTTTTTGGTTTTGGAGGGATTATTATTAGGCTCTGTGTGGAGTAAGGAAACTTGCCCAAGGTTTCGCCCTCTGCCTGGAATTGAACTCAGGTCTCTCGCTTGCAAAGCGAGTGCTCTAACCACTGAGCTACAGGACTCCACAATGGATTACTTCCAATGGAGATACTTCGATATTCATTCAATCAATAAAATTAAAAGAAAATTTGAACCAAAGTCATTATTCATTTAATAAGCACGTATGCACGTTATTGTGGCACAATGTTTTAGATTCTCCCCCCAAAATGGAAAATTGTTTCAGCTCCAAAGGGAACAACTTTGTTTAATTCCAACTGCAAACTTACCGGTTATATTAATATTACGTGCAAGAGGCACATTTGCTTCCCCTACTGCACTCAACACTGCACTGTAATGAATGAGCCATGTGATCCGGTTATTGACGATAATCTCACGCAGGTTCTTGTAATCCAAGATATCAGCATAGATAAATGGACCTGAAAAAGTGACAAATTAGATAAATATATTGCATTCATTGAATTACTGAATTAAAAACAACAAATTTTGAGCACTTACCACTATGAAACACCTGATCTGGGGGTTTCCTGATATCAGACAGGATTACATTGTTTTTACCAAAGCGTTTCCTGTGGAAGAATGGCATGAGTTTATTCTTTGATTTCTGTGATAATTTTCAAACTGCTGTGAACTTTCTGATGAGACACATGAATACATAATCATAGCAAAAAAAACTACCAGTTTCTGCTGTACAAACTGCTTATTTATTTCATCACCAGAAAATAAAAAGTATGATTCACTATTTAGTGGTGAACCAAGAATCCTTGTGCTCTATAACAATCCAGACCAGCAAGTATAACTGAGGAGAAGGTATCTTCCTTATATACATAAAAGATCTTTGTAAAATTCAAGACATTTTTTATTTGAAGAGACTGCCCAACATTAACATTGCAATTCCATTTGGATGGTGGAGTCTAGAGCCACTCATCACTTTTGCTTTTACTTATCTATCACACACTATTGAACACAAGTGAACAATAGGCTTATCTCAGACTTCCACACAGCAGTTTTCATATCCTTTCACCCAGCATCATGAATCATATGCAAAGTGGAAAGCTTACATACCTTAGTAAGTTTGCAAGTCCTACTCCAAGTTGGCCTAAACCACCTGAAAATTAGAATAGAATGTCAATATTTTCATGGCCTTGACCTTGAGGAGTAAATAATCCTTCAGATTGTGTATCACAATTTGGTATTAATGTCAGGAGTCAAATGCTGCCCAGCAGTATCCACAATGTGGCTTTATTGTGCAGGGGAGAAATACACTTAAATTCTTTCAACAGCGTTAAGAATCATATTTTTGTTTGCCATCCAATCATTAAGTATAGTTATGGGCACTTTATATTTTGTTGCAACGGAGGATTTCCTTTGTCCATTGACAGGTTATCAGAGGTATTTTACATGGAAATACTGTTTTATTGACAAATTGAAGGATCATGTGGTGTTGACAACTTATCCCAGGGCGAGTTAGAATTTCACTGTATCAGCCAAGTTTTCTGGACAAGCATCTGAATTTATAACTCACCTACAGGGCAGGCTAGCCAAGGCAATGCAGAAGACACCTTTAAAATCATGTTGGTTCTGTATTGGCTAGGCATAATTAAAGACTGCTATGTTTGCAACAATTTCCCAGTGTACAGTTCACTGCAAAGAGTCTTCTGACATAATCTTGAAACAGATATTCCACAAACAGGTTTATCAAGGCATTGTTTTTCACAGCTGTTTTATATTGAAAAGCAACATATGTTACACTAATTGTGTGGGCTATTTTTAATTTTCATCCACAACACCCAATTTGCTGCATAAAAGATTTAACCCGAAATTTAGTTAGTGGTCGCATACATACCAGTGATTAGAACTCGAGGGTGATCAGATTCAGCGAAAGAAACGGAGTGGAAGCTGGCGTCTGTATTTACTTGTCGTGGTGACCAGCTCATGGCTCTGACAGCCACAGTCAGAGCTGGAGTCTGACAACTGCAGCCCGGGCTCAGCAGGACCTGTTTGGCTGCCCCGGCTAAACTCCTGAAGACAGGCATTCTGCAAGTCTAGAGAACAAGTGACACTGGGTTACACACACATTGTACCTGTTTATCGAAAGCTGACAAATTAAGTCAAATATACATTCAGTGAATATTCAGAGTCCCTAATATAGGCAATACAAAATCGATACAAGCCTATCAGGTCTGACAACCCATCCCATACCGATGGGCACCAAATTTTGACCAGAAAGATTAGTTTTGAAATTTTTGTTAAAATTCCTGGCCAGTTGTAATATAATAATCCTTACATTTGATATAGCGCCTTATCACATTGTTGAGACATCTTAAATTGCTTCACATTGCTATCCATCCATCTATTCCCAAAGGAAGTGAAGTCAGTGGCAAATTATTGACCCAGAGGTTGGCCATTTTTTAAGCACAAGAAGACAGCTGCTTTTCTCCTTGCACATGGCAATGCTGACTGCTGATTATGGCCGATTATAAGGCTGGCTGAGATTTTATAAACTCCAATCACCGTCCTATAATGGGGCTTTACTGTAATTGGACAGAATTTGTTTGGTAATAATTTGCCTTCTATTAACACAATTATGATTGAGGGAAAAAGATACATCTGTTTACAATATAGCTTTAAAAAACAGTTCACTTTGCAATAATGCTAAAAATGATGCATTGCTTGACTATGTTTGATGAACGCACTGTGACAACTCCCTGTTAGCTGTGTAAGTAATCACAGGTGTTGTACTGTATGCAGCTCAGGAAGGTCCAGTTGCAACTAAACAACAACTTGTATTGTTTAGCACCTTCACGCAGTATAGCATATCAAAAGTACTTCAGTTTTCTGTCAAGTGCAATAACTATATTTGTAGGTGAACCTGGCAACCAATTTGTACATAGCAGTGTCCCACAAACAGCTATGAAGTGAATGACTAATTTATCTTGGAAATTGTTGGCCATGACACTGGAAGAAACCCACAACCTTTAGACTCAAAGGTGAGTGCTGCAACTAAACCAGGCTAACAAAGCAAAAGCATTCTCTGGGAAAAATACAGCAAACCTTCAATCACCCAAGAAAACAGTACACGCAGACACACAACTGGATCCCAAAGGATTGTTTTCCAACTTATCCTCTCCTTCAGTAAAGAACGTACAGTGTGCTCATGTACAGTATGATTTTTGAGATCTGCGGAGCTGTTCACCCAATGATCAATTCCACACCCACTCTCTATTCACTGTATTCAGAGGCCAGGGCAGGCTGTTCCCAGAGTGGAGGGCCCACGGAGGGTGGGATGGTCACAGCTCTTTCAAGTTTCGTACTCCACACACCTCTGTTTACCTAACAGTAAGTAGGAACCTGGTTGTTAGTCGATTGGCGGATCGCTTTTCTGGGGTTAATAATCCCTTAAAAAATAAACAATAATAATTTGTTCACTCAATCCATAATCGTTTGTGGGACACTGTTGTGCGCAATTGGCTGCCGCTTTTCACCCACAAAATATACAGTCAATTCACTTTACAGTATATTCTGTGAAGCGCTTTGAGACGTTTTATTATTAGTATCTCACAGAAATGCAGTAAGGCCCATCAGAGTTCATAATCTGAATTTAAGTGCTAAAGTGTTGTGACATACCCACCCTTCACAAACAACTGAGAACTTCTCCCACCCCCCACCGCCCCTCAAAAAATCTGATTGCATTGAGAAGAACAGCTATATCTACAACAACTTACGTTATATAGCGTAGTGTCTTGGACAGCAGAAACAGCTCTCCTGTACCTCTATTGCTATTGTCTCCAAACAACAGCAACACAGCTCAAACTTCCCTGCATGGCTGCAGCTATAGAAAGCAACCAGGAACTACAATTCACTGTCAGATGGATTGCAATGACAAAACTTGGCTTATTATCCCTCTACAGCAGGGATGTCAAACTCAACCGGGAGCAAGTGCCGTTTAAGTTAACACTGTTCATTTGGTGGGCTGTCCCATAAAAAAAAGTTATACATTGTACACATAATATGAGCTGTCATTGGGTGCCAAATATCACTCCACAGCCTGCAACCACCTGTATGGTTGACACCTCTGCTCTATTTCCTGAAAATGTATCAAAAGTGCAACAAAGTACTAGTTTTTCTTTGAAAGACAAAACAAATGTAGATCAGTTAAAAGGACGCGTGTGTTGGAGATAAGTACATAGTTCACTTTTATTGGAAGAGATAGCAGTCAGTTCTCCGGACCCAAAGGATTTCTCTGAACAATTTCTCACGCAGCGTTAGGCAGTGTCTGCAAAGTTCTTCTCAGGTTCCACAAAGCTAGAAGGGCAGCCCAGGCCCAATCGCCTGTCACTGCAGGCTTCACGCCTGCCTACACTCTACACCCAACAGATGTGTTTGACTGATAAAAGCTGTCCAATCGAAATTGCAGAATTAGCTGTTCACAATGATATTGTTCAACTATTGCCTTAAATTACTTCTTAGTAATTAATTATTCATCATCTTTTTGAAGCGATGATGACTCAGCTTAGAACTAGGTTTCCCTTTTCTCCCCCTTCCTGATAAAGTCCTAGTACCAAAAGTGCTGAGGTAGTGACAATGGAAGCAGATACAGTCGTGGCTGTGACATGGGTGGATACATGTTGCAAATCTATGAGTTTAAGCACATGTGTTATTGGTATTAGAATGTTACAAAGTTGCTCTGAAAGATATAAAAACATAAAAAGAACCTTAGTGATGTCCTGCATCATGAGCCTTGACCTTCAACTCTGTTTCTCAAAACAAAGAAAGCTCAACTCAAATGTCAAAGTATTAAGAGGATTGATCCAATTTAAAAACCCACCGTTATAGCCAGAAAGCATCAAAAGCCCCAGATCCCAATTCAATTATTGTACGCTGATGCCATTTACAAATCAATTTAATTTTCAGTGGATTTCCTCTTAACCTAAAGACTGTATACATTTTTAATATTCAAATAATACGGATTCATAAATGCAGTGCCTGGCCTGGGCACCACTGACAAGATGGTGGGCTTTGGCAACAGAATACCAGAATTGAGTGGTCAGGTTCACAAGCCGGTTGCACTCAGCACTCAAAGGCTCTGCTGACAGACCATCCGGTCTGGCTCATCATGAGGATCGGAGGGGCATACTGGTGTCACTGGGGGCAAGCGTTCTTCCTCTTTGGCTCGTGTGAACCCTGCAAATCAGGTCCCCTGATAGGCAGGGGTGATCCCAGCTGTACAGACAGCAGGAATCTTGCCAAACAAACATTGGCAAGCTCTGTGGTTTTAGCTGGTTAAACTCCAGCAATACCCCCAACACAAACTGTGGTGTCTCCGAGCCTTGGCTCTCAACAAATTGTGTCTCATATTCTCCAGAATTAGGAGAGGGTGTGCATTCCATTCCAGACAGATACATTTCCAATAGTGGGTTGTATGCATATGTAAAACTCTGTCTGGTGTGGAGACTCATGGCGATGGGTGTCAGATGACCAAACAAAAGATGCAATGCAACATATAACAGGATCAAAGTGCCTTTGCTGCACTTCCAATTACTGGGTCTCTTCACCTCACCCCTTCCCTTGCCTCTTTCAAGACCTTCCTCTTCGACTGAGCCTTCGGCCGCCCTCCTACCCTATTCTCCTTGTCCTCCACCCCCCGATCCCAACCCCCAGCTCAGGTGCACATCCTTGGCTGCCCAACATTTTGGGACGTGCTCCCGACGTGAAAGGTGCTGTACAAATGTAATGTGTTTGTTGGGTCAGATGAATTAACCCATCTAATTCCATCCCACCAGAAAACAACTATTTTCCCAAGATAGAATCAAGTGGTTCTGTATATGAGTGTAGTTACCTGGCAAAAAACTTACTAATTCTGGTAATGGTTCCAGTTATATTGCCAGCAGTACTTGGCGAGACTAAGCACTATTAAAAAGATCATACACAGATAAAACCTGGGGCTCACAAAGCAGCTACGTACATAAATATCAGCTATCCAAATGTTCCATACACTGGTACACCCACCTCCAAAATACCTATATAAGTTAAGTGACATTAACTTTTTTTTTAAAAAAAAGCTAGTGTCATTCCTTTCCCAACCCCAAATACAATTATTTCCTCCCTTGATGTCCCCAAGCCTACCTTGATTTCTCACCAAACAACCTGATCTTCAAAAACAAAATCTATGTGGCACTCCAGCATTTCAGGAATAGCCACGTGTCTACTTTACAAGAAATCGTGTGACAATAACGCTGCAGTACAATCTAGTTCCTTTCAAAAACACTCCAAACCTCAATAGGCGAGCAAAAGGGCATAGCTTGTCCCTCGGAGGGTCCGAGGGATGAGCTCCTGCTCGCCCCTTGCACCCTCCGCCCCACTATCAGAGGTTGCGCTTTCAGCCACTGCACCCCAAAACTCTGGAACACTCTCCCTCAATCTCTCTGCCTTGCCCCCTCTCTCCCCTCTTTCAAGTCCCGCCTGAAATCTTTCCCGTTTGACCGTGCTTAAGGCCACGTACCACCTCCCCCCGCCTCGAAGTCAGGCTCCGCCTCTGTTAAGTGCTCTGAGCCGCTACCCTGCGTGGAGGGCGCTATACAAGTGCAAGTTGTTGTTGTTGTAGCTTTTCACAGCCGCAAACGTGAACACCGATGTCCACGTGTGCAAGTGACATTTCAAAAGCCACAAACTTCCACCTATAAAACTTAAAACGGGTTTTGGAGGAAAGGAAGGCGAGGCTGTGCGTGGATTGCATTACACTCGTGTGGCAGCTGCGCAGCTCAGCTCATTGCATCAAACCGCACATTTCCGCATTTACCAGCACAAGATCCCGAGCCAAAGAAACAAAACTATTTTACTCTCCGTAAATATAGACATTTTAAATGTCATCCTCCTGTTCTCTTGCCCGATCGCTCACAGAAAGTCACAGAGCTCCCAGGATGTCAGACATGTCGCCTGTGAACTCTTTCGAAAATAATAATAATAATCATTGCATTTGATATAGCGCTTTTCATGTCTTCCAGACGTCTCAAAGCGCTTCGCAGAATATAGTGTAAAGCGAATTGACCATATATTTGTGGGCGAAACGCGACAGCCAATTGCGCAGAGCAGCGTCCCACAAACAGTTGGGGATTGAGTGAACAAATTATTATGTGTTTTGAAGGATTATTATCATCATCATCATCCCAGGAAAAACGTGGTTAGTCTCATAGAAAATGTGGCCGCAGTATGTAAAAACTGCAGTGACAGGACGATGGGGCGATTCCCAGTTCCCTCCCAGTGTGAAGTCTTTTACTTGTGCTCACAAGTCACCATAAAAACAGCAGAAACGGGCAAGTTTTTTTTAAGGAAAAACCCCCAAAGGGGGAGAGAAACTGCTCCAATTGCCCAACGTGCAATCAGTCAGTCAGTCACTCTGTCCCTCCCCACACACACACACACACACACACACCCCACACACACACCCACACCCCCCACACACACACACCCACACACACACACCCACACCCCCACACACACCCCCACACACACACCCCCACACAACAGCCCCCCCCCCACACACACACACCCCCCACACACACACACCCCCCACACACACACCCCCCCCCACACACACACCCCCCCACACACACACACACACCCCACACAGCCCCCCCCCACACACACACACACTCCCCCACACTCCCCCTACCCACCCCCCCCACCCACACACCCCCACACCCCCTACTCAACCCCCCCCACCCACACACCCACTCCCCCACACACCCACTCCCCCCACACCCACCCCACTCCCCCCACACCCCCCACCCACACCCCCCACACACACACCCCCCCCACAACCACACCCCCCCCACACACCCCCCCACACACACACCCCCCACACACACACCCCCCACACACACACCCCCCACACACCACCCCCCACACACACACACCCCCTCACACCACACACCCCCCTCACACCACCCCCCACACACACACCCCCCACACACACACCCCCCACACACACCCCCCCCCCACACACCCCCCCCCCCCACACACACCCCCCCCCCACACACACCCCCCCCCCCACACACACCCCCCCCCCCACACACACCCCCCCCACACACACACACACCCCCCACACACACACACCCCCCACACACACCCCCCCCCACACACACCCCCCCCCCACACACACCCCCCCCCACACACACCCCCCCCCACACACACCCCCCCCCCACACACACCCCCCCCCCACACACACCCCCCCACACACACACACCCCCCACACACACACACCCCCCACACACACCCCCTTCCCACCCCCCCCCACACACACCCCAACACACACACCCCCTACCCACAACCCCCCCACACACACCCCTACCCACCCCCCCCCACACACACTCCCCCCACACACACTCCCCCTACCCACCCCCCCACCCCACACCCCCACCCCCCTACTCAACCCCCCCACCCACACCCCCACTCCCCCACACCCCCACTCCCCCCACACCCCCCCAGTCACTGTGCAGTGTGCGGCTCCGCTCACCCCTTAGCGATCAGTTCGCCCTCCAAAACGGCTCCTGTGCCCCCGGGGCTCTGGTGACCGCAGCCCCGTCCCCGTGTCTGTGTCTGGGCGGAGGGGGGGAGGGGGGAGGGGGGGAGGGGGGGAGGGGGTGACTGCTCGCGGTACAGTTGCTGCCAAATCCCGGTGCCGCCCTCTCCCGCTGTGGCCGTGTGTGAGGGTCTGTGTGAGGGGTATCCGCTCCTCTCTCACTGATTGCATCAGCCGCGCCACCGGTCACATTTATACCATCTGCTCCGGTGAGCGAGGTGCGGGGCGGCTCTGATTGGTCGATTCCATCAACGCCCCCCCCCCTCCCCCCGCCCCGAACCGCTCATTGGCGGACGCGGAGGTGTGCCGGCATCAATCACATACGTCACAATCGAGAGGGCGGGTCTGAGTCGATGAGGGGCTCCAGACAGATGCTGTGCTGCACAGGGAGTGGGGGAGAGGGGGGGGAGTGGGGGTGGGGGGAGAGGGGCTGCAAGTACCTGAGTAATGTGGGGAGTGTCTGGGAATGCTTTGAATGCGATGAGATCAGTGCAAAGGGGGTGGGAAAGACTTGGGATTTTTTAAACTGAAATAACCGTGAATTTCTGGAAATCCCCGAGACAACACCCGTCCGTTCGCTCGGCAATATGTTCCGTAAATCGCTTTGGGCCGCCCTCGGGGACGCGATAGGGCGCTACGTCAAATGCAAGGATTATTTATTATTCCACGGAAGGACGCGGCTGAGAAATCCAAACAATTTTCGATCCGTCTTTTCTTTAAATGAAAAGCTTCCGCAAGCTGATTCGCCTGAGAGCATTGAGATTTAAATGCCATCGAGAGTGAATACCGTACAAGTTCAGCTAAACAGAGAAAAGTAAAAGTGATGGTGGATGGACTCGGATGATCCTGATCCAGGAAGAATTAGTCAGGGCTCTCTGTACTGTTTTTTTCTTAAAATAAAATCCTCACTGTAGGTTAGAGCATGAATTGAGACTTCTTCGCCTCCAGATCTTGGTAGGATGAGAGGCAGGGACAGGAGAGACGGTACACATGTGACTTCCTTGTTTGCAGGTGAGAGGACACATTTGATGGGGAAATTGCAGGTAATTCGTTCGCTCTAATACAGAGAGTGGAGTCATCAGATATGACAAAGGTATGACAAATACAAGAAAAATGGAATGGAATTAGAACTTTACAGGAAAAAAAAGTGTCAATCAACATAGTCTGGGGAATTTGATATTGTAATAATTGGCGAAATAACCAACAACAACTTGCATTTATATAGTGCCCCTCAAACAGGGTAGAGTCCCATAGCGCTTGGCAATGGCAGAGCACGCCGCTGAGCTGGGGAGAGGTGACTGTTGGCACGGTCGTAGAGGAAGGTCTTCAGGTATCAACCACTGAGAGTGGAAGGTCCAGGAAAGGAAACAAATTGTCACAAATGAACAAGCAGAAGTTGGTCAATGCAAAAAAAAACCTCAGATTTAGAGCTAAACACACTATCAGAACAGACATCAGTACAGTGAACAGGATGGGAGTGTTTCACATGCCTGCAAAAGCAGGCACACCCAGTGCTGCTTTATCGGGGCTAGATTCTGATTAATCTGAAAGTATTTGGATTGAAATGATATTGAGAGGGAGTACAAATTCAGCTAAACAGAGAAAAGGTGGATGGACAATCCTGATCCAGGAAGAAGGATAAGTGTTGAAGACAATCTTGGAGAGGGATGCAAATCTAGTTAGTCTATATGCCACAAGAGACAGAAAATCTGAAATTGTTGTAAATGTCATAAGGAAAGGGCAGATAGGGAGGAGAGGGGGAGAGAATGTGGTCGAGAAAGATGACGTGTGAACAAGTTGAGATAATGGGTCAGTCAGGATACTGGGAAGAGGGAAGAAATTTCAGCCAAGCCCACCCCAATTTTCTGTGAGTTTCCACACATGTGGCTTTAGCAAAGTGATTGTGGCAACTTAATTTTTGTTCCCAAAATCTGAAGGAATTGAGGCCAACTATATATCTATACTAACAAAACAACAATGTCCTTCTGCACTTCCAAGGATCTCAATAACTGATTGACGAAGAGACATGATTCCTCATCAGGAAGGTCTTGTATCTAGGAGTGACATGGGCATATTTGTTCTCAGGTATCTCCTATCTTTCATGAGTTACTTTCAATTTTGCGTTTTTCACTGCCGTTTCACCTGGTGGCCGCCGAGTCAAAATGGCGCTGTGGCATTGTGCGTCGGAGAGAACCTACGTATGTACACACACACTGCAGTTACACCTGGTGATCGCCCAGGGAACAAGATGCTATCTTGGAAGTTGCCTCGAGAGACATTGACGGCAGCCGTTTAGCTGCTTTTCCTGTTGCTCCTGGGCGGCCCCCGGGCTGGGCAGCGCCATGTCGGAGTTGAGCGGTGGCAGGTGACGGTTGGCTGGGTAAGGCTGCGGGTTTTCAGGTTCCTTTGCGCCAGTCTAGCAGTGACTAACTGGGGCCTCACCCGGGGCTGGTGTTTAGCCCCTCCCCCTCTCCTTAAGTATATAACGGGGCTGGGTTTAGCCCCTACCCATATATATTATTATTATACACTAATATAGATGTGATGTCTGTCTGTGTATCATCCAAGAACTCAATAACAGATTAACGTAGAGACATGATATATACCTCAACGGAGAGATCTTGCAATGGGAGAGTATCATGGACATATTTTTTGGGGGGCGGGGGAATCTCCTATGATTGATGAGCTATGACTTAAACAAGCTCATCACACGTGTGTGTGATGCGCTGCAGTTACACATGGTAGCTGCGCCAACTCCCAGTGGCGCTGTGGCATCATGCGTCAGAGCATGTACGTTTGCACGAGCACACTGCAGTTACACGTGGGGGCCATGCCGACTCCCAGCGGGCTGTGGAATCGTGCATCACGGAGCACGTACTTACACACAAACGAAGCACACACTTAGACGAAGCCAAGCAGCGGGAACAAGACAAAGATGCCTAAGCGAACATCGAGCCTTTCAAGGACAAATAAAACTGCCAGGCAAAAGAGGGAAAGGCTGATTAAATGAAACTGGAGAGCAAAGAACAGAACATCTGGATTTCAATGCTGAAAGGACTGCAGGAGCGCGGCAGAATGAGCTGCCCACTCAAAGAACAGCCCAGCAGGACTTGAGACGCAGAAAGGCATGCAAGAACACAGCAAAATGACGCCCAGCAGCAGAGCTCACTCCATTTAGCTGCGCTCAACTATGATCCAGACAGACTATGAATCATATGGCGCTCATCATATTGGGAATATGTGGAATGTAGGTGCTTACTGTGAATATGGGCACAAGAAGTTCCTTCTTTTATCTATTAGCTTAGCAAGGTGAAACTAGAGCCAGCTGAACCCCTGAAAAGTCTGCTGGATCATTAGGTGATTGTAAAATTTTTTTTAGCAAACCTTAGGAAATAAAATTCATGCTTCCAGATTCCCTCTTTTGGCGCAACTTGAGAAATTGAAGAGCCAGGCTATATGCCAACATTTAAAGTGCAAGGCCAAAGTGTACGACTTACCGGGATCTCTAAATGCTTTTAAATGCAAGACAACTGCTGGCCAGCATGAGCAATGGTACAATGCACCAACTTCTGATGAAGTAGCCATCCTGATTGTGGGTGAAGAACATGGTAAGCAGGACATTGTGTTGCAGTAACTTGACAACAAACTCAAACGAGCGTGTAAGACTAACAGGGGATACGATGCCTCCCAATCTTATTCCCACGGGTTGAAGGTGGCTACTGTTTCCAGGTATGGGAAACAAATCCCAGCACTGGACAGTCGAGGCCTGACAAAAAAAGTGTCTACTATGGCTCTTTATGCACACAGGTTGATGCAACGTGAAGGCGATTACAACATCCTTCGGAGTACAAAAGACCTCTGCCATCAATTCATCATAGACATGTATGCCAAGATCAAAGCTGAGACTTTTTTTTACCCGCTTGAACCAGAAGAAACTCAGGGCTGAGGAGTACATTCACTTGCGGGAAGCACTTATAAACAATGGTGATGCCAGTAATGTAGGTCAACTGGTTATCTTGACATCCAGTTTCAGTAGGGAGCCACGGTCAACAGGACGAGTTTGCAAGAATCATTCTCTACTGTGAGGACCCAAAGTATTTCACATGGAACACCCAGAGTGAAAGCAAAGATGTCAAAGTACTCCTGTTGGAGGCTATCCCCGTGTCAAGTCCAGTGACTCACTCGGCAGGGTGTACACAGTGTATCCAAACAACTTTGAATGCTGCTTCCTAAGGCACTTGGTGCACACTGTGAGAGGCCCAACAAGCTATAAGGATCTTAAAACCATCGATGATGAAGTCTGCAACACATTTCCAGAAGCAGGCCATTACAGGGGTCTCCTCAAAGACGATGCCCACTGGAACCAGACATTAGAAGAAGCAGCCACAGCAGAGTCTACTTTCAGACTGAGGGATTTGTTGGCCATCATGCTGCACACCTGTAGTCTGTCTAATCCAAGACAGCTGTGGAATAACCACAAAGAAAGCACATCAGAAGACGTTTTCCATCAGCTACGTAGTGCAAATCCACAAACTAGACTACAGTGATGCCACCTTCAACTAGGCCCTCATACACTTAGAAGATAAGCTAATGGCATTGGGGGAAAGGCATTGCCACACTATGGTCTGCCCTGGACTCACAGAACAGAAGATGGCACCTTGGCCAGAGAAATTTTGCGGGAAATCAACTATAACCAAGATGAAATGCAACAACAACTTGCACTTATTTATCGCCTTCCACACAGAGTAGCGTCTCAGAATGTTTAACAGTGGTGGAGCCTGATTCCGAGCCGGGTGGGGGGGGTGGGAGGTAAACATAAGCATGGGCGAAAAGGAAGGTTTTAAGTGGCACTTGAAAAAGGGGAGAGGGCAAAGCGGAGGGATTGAGGGAGAGTGTTCCATTTTTGGGGCGTAGTGGCTGAAAGCATGACCTCCAATGGTGGGGCAGAGGGTGCGAGGGGCTTGCAGGAGGCCAGTGCCAGTCGAGTGGAGGCACCGGGTGATGGATTGGGGAGTGAGAAGGTCGGAGAGGTAGGGAGATGCCAGGGAGTGAATAGATTTGAACATGAGTGTGAGGATCTTGAACTCGATCCATTTCATCTGAATTTTAATATTTAATGACTTTATGAATTTAAAACTACCATAATGAAGTATCGTTTGTTGTCAAATACAATATGAGAAGTCAAGCAAACATACTACAGGTTAGCACTCCATCTAATTTGCTTTTTGGGGGGAGCAGGTGTGCTGTCTTTCATCTTTCTAGTTTTATATATACATATATATATATATATATATATATAAAAAGTGCTGTTCAGGTTGACCCAGCACAGTAATTTTTTTTTACTTCAACTGGATATTATGTGGAAGTTATATTTAAAATACTGTAACATTTAAAAAACTTGTGCATGATCTTACATTTTAATTCATTTAGTACAGTATGCAGATTCCATATTAACAATGTTATGATTGTTTTGCTGAACAATAAGACCTGATTAAAGTCCTATGTACATTAATTATACTTCTAGACCATTTCTGTGACATTAACAATACAAAATTTCAAGTAAAGAGTGCATTGCACAATTTACATGGGACATACTGCAGTAGTTTAAACAGTATTGATACAACCTTTCTCTCTCCTTAAATTCACTATTTTATATTAGGTAAACAAAAAAATCCCAACCTGAATTTGTGGAAACATTTGTCAATTTGTCTAGTGAGATTACAACATTCTTTATATTGCACCATATACAAAAACATCTGATTGACATACAATACCTAACCAGACAGACCTGAAGCCAGCAGTGTTCTTATACACGCGATAAGTGTACTTTAGCATACAATAATTTCACTGAATTCCCAGACTTTGGGTAAAAGGTTTTACAAAGCATATACTTTGACAGTGCAACACCTTATATGTAAATCAGTATTCCAGTCCTTTTGAAATTGGTTATGCAGATTAAATGATGTTTTTTCACACTGGAGCCCATTTATACTGGCAAGGGAATCACTACACCATAGAGTGAAAAGAAAGGCAATGGGATCAATTTGTAAACAGCAAGATATTTTGGAGTAACCCAACATTCAGAGCACCAGCCTCAAAATCAGTCACAAAATGCAAGCAATTCCTAAAGCTACCAAAATTCCACCCTATCAATGAATTCTAGATAGAATTCTTTCCACCACTATATGTTGTTTCATATATTGAGAAAGTCAATTGCACAGGACAGTACCAAGTGTCATGAGGAAGCCCGCAGTCTAATTCAGTCTTCCTGGATGAAAGATGGCATCTGAAGAGTGGCCCTGAGAGCAAATGGAGTAAGAAGCCACTTTTTTTGGGGGTGAGAAGAAAAAGGAAAAGAAAATAATATTAAAAAATTAAAAGGCAGTGTCATTTAAACATAATCTGACTCACTGGTAGCTTTATCTGATTGCAGTGTGAAGCCAGTGTTGCCACTCCCACATTGTGCAAAACAGCTACAAAATGTATTTGATCACAACTTTCAATACAAGTATTTCAAAAGCAAGTTTCTGCATTATGTTTCAGCTGCTTCTTAAACAACTTTCAACCTTTCAAAGATATTCTCAAATTGATCAATCAACTTTAGTCATTCAGTTTTATTTCCAAATGCCTTTCTTTGTTTAATATACGTTAGAAGCATTTAAAACATTGCAAGATCAATCGCTTTACACAAGGCATTTGCTGAGCAAATCTCAAGATGTGAAATAGGTGTATAAGCACGAGTACCAAAATTGTGTTACCATTACTTTCCTTCACATCATGCTTTTCAGTATCAGTGACTACTGCCACCAGCTAAATTCATACAAGAATAGCAGGTAGTCTTCAGGGTTTATTTGTTTTCCTTTCATACTGCTTTCCTGAAGCTATTTCACTTTCTGACATAAGATTCCATGGAAGTTGCCCTTGATAACTTGCCCAAGGGGTCATTCATATTAAAGTATTAACAGTGAGTATTAGCAGGCTATTTAGCTTCAAGAGGCATTATAGCCAACACTAATCCGTCCTTCTTAGATGTACACACACCTCTCCCCATCAGGTGTTGCTGAGGAAAATTGTAGCACTCCAACTAATGCCCTTGATGATAAAGTCAGTACCAGATTTTTTTTTTTTTTAACCTGCATTGAGAATTTCACATTTATTGCACTGCTGGGATGCTCTCCTCAGGTAGCTCGGGTGTTGTCGGCTACGGGGAGGGGTCAGGTGGATTCTGGAGTGGCTCAATTTAGTTCAGAGACGTCAGCAACTTTGGAATGACTAACTGGGAATCAAACATGTATCTTTCCTGTCTGGATGTCCATAATAGTACATCAGTCATTAGGCCTTCAGGATACCCTGGTCTAAGTTGATGTTGGGAAAATATGCTGTTTTCCACAAGAGGTCAAGGTGAAATGATAAAGTGCTACTCCAAATAAGGACTGAAAACATAGCTTCAGTTGCAACATGCCAATGAGATCAGTAAACTTTCAATGTCCCTCAACCTCAAAAGACAGGATGTGCGATAATGCACTTAAACGGAACTGTGACAAGGAAAATTAAGTTGATATAACCTCATGAATGTGTCATGCTAGATAGGTTACAATCTTAACATTGTATTATTGAACAGTGCATCATAATCTTGAAAGGCACTTAAGCACCTGCGAAATTATGGCCATCACTGAGCATTAAGAGAATACAAGTTTATCTCCTTTCCATCTTAGTGACCAACAAGGTGCTCAGACTTAAAAACGGTTCCTGAATACAATTAAGAGTTTATGAAGATTTAGAATCCTGCAGATTTGTTGGGCTGAAAAAGTTTTAATTAAAGCATAACTTAGTTGAAGCTTAATAAACAAACACTCCTTCATGTTGTTAGCGCAACTAACATAATGAATGCTTATAACCACATAAATGTAGTTGTTACCTAACCAAGGTGAACAATTTGATTTGTGTTTATGAACATATATGAAAGTCTTGTAGTATTCATATGTCAAAGCAAAACCGTTTCTATTTAGTAAAAAACTGATGCCTCTAATGATTCAATAACCAACTTAAATGTTATTTTTCAGAATTTAGCCAAGACGACAATTTTGTCCTTGCTTGGAAATGAAGCAACATGACAATGCGTAGCTATAATGGGAAAATGTCATTGCAACAGCACATCGACATTTTCACTCTCCTTACCATCTTACCCTAGACTTCCAAAGGCAAACCTGGACAGAAGCATGGTTGCAATCATGAGATAAATTACTTGGCATGATCATGCTTTTTACATAAGGTATTTTTTGATCAAATCACAAATAAATAAATCTAGCTGTATATTAACATGATTTTCCTCTACAGCACCAGTGCCTATTTCCACAGGTTCACTTCAAATCTTAGACCACGCATTGAGGGCAGACTAAGGTTTCTTTTTCTCCACATCTCCGATTTTGTAATGATGCGTTTAGAATGAAAGAATTCAAAAAATGCACTGTCTATGTGACAAAGTTTTTGTGTTGCTTAAATGGTGTTCTAGTGTCATCTATAAAATAGTAACAGTAAAACATGAAAGTCAATTGTCAAATTCCTAGTGGATATCAGCCCACAACACAAATCTGCCTTTGGTGCAACAACTTTTGGGTGGGCTAGCTATAAGTGTAGAGTTGAAATGGAAATGTACCGATGGTGAAAGCACAGTGTTCCTCTAAGGTGGAGGGTTGAGTTACAGTCTTTAGTTTTTCTTGTACAAATGCATACTATCCTCAGACTTATAACCTTGTATAACATTTTTAAATTAATGCAATTGTATCGCACTGTAGTGCAACTGTGTACCAGTTTATATGGGAATAAGACTTTCACACATCAAGTGTTACCGATTGCTATTTTTCAGTATAGTAATTGAAAAGTACTGAAAAGTTGTCGTTTTTTTTTTAAACAAGGTTCCTTCAAGGACTCTCCAGCTCTCCATCCTCTGTTTGCAGCTCTGCCAACTGTCTTCGAAGGGCATTCACTTTTGTCTGTAGCTCCTTGTTGTATTCAATGATGTGAATAACTTCATCCCAAGCTTCATCCAAGTATTTTGAAGTGCGATTCCACCGGAGGAACACACCTTTTTAAAAAAACAAAATCAACAAGTCAGTTGTCCTTGAGCTGCCCAATGCAGCCTTCACATCTCATCGCTATCCACCAGATAAGACAGCTACCTACCTTTTTGAATTACCTATGGCTCCTCCCTACCACCCTCCCCACCCTGCCCCCCTCACACCACCCATTGCTTGAGGTCCACTTTACAATATAGCCTGTGAAGTGCTTTGAGACATCTCAGACCCGAGCTGGGTTCAGGCTGGGGAGAAGGGAGAAGGGAGGGAATGGGCGTGGCCAATGGCATGGTCGAAGAGGAGGGTCTTGAGGCTCGACTTGAAGGAGGCTAAGGAGGGGGTGAGGCAGAGTGATTGGGGGATGGAATTCCAGAGGTTGGGGGCAGAGTGGCTCTCCTGCCAATGATGAGGCGGATGGGTCAGGGGACGTGGAGCAGCCAGAGCCGGCTGAGCGGAGGGAGTAATAATAATATAATAATAATAATAATCCTTGCATTTGATGTAGTGCTTTTCACGTCGGGAGGACGTCCCAAAGCGCTTCACAGAACACACTGTAAAGTGAATTGACTGTATATTTGTGGGCAAACACGGCAGCCAATTGCGCACAGCAATGTCCCACAAACAGTCGTAGATTGAAAATGACCAATTTATCGTTGTTTTTGGAGGGATTATTATTAGGCGTGTGGAGTAAGGAAACTTGCCCAAGGTTTCGCCCTGCCTGGAATTGAACTCAGGTCTCTCACTTGCAAAGCGAGTGCCCTAACCACTGAGCTACAGGACTCCCTGGAGTGAACAGAGACCTATTGACATCCATGTACCCATCCTTCAGCAGATAGGAACAAAACCAAATTGCTTTCAGAAAATTAGGAGTCTCACTGCAAGAAAATGCTGGGCTTCCTCGATTCCGAAATCGAAGGAATCCGCTCAGCTGCCACTGCCCTCCCAACTTCCTTCCTACCCCCATCCCACATAGTTACCCATCCGACAACTACCCATTCCTCCTTCCACACCTTTGAATCTGTCACTCCCTCCTGTCTTCACCACTGTAACCTCCATGAAGCCCACCACCTGCTCCCTGGACCCCATCCCTACCCCTCTCCTTAAATCCCAGCTCCACCTCCTTGCCCCACTACTCACCGACATCATTAACCTCTCCTGTCATCTGGCACTGTTCCTTCCCCCCTTAAAACAGCCACTATCACCCCCACCTTGAAGAAACCTTCCCTTGACCCATCACAGCTATCTAGCTACCGGCCCATCTCAAACCTCCCCTTCCTATCCAACTACAACAACAACTTGGATTTATACAGCGCCCTCCACGCCGGATGGCGTCTAAGAGCGTTTAGGACCTTGAGAGAGCCTTTGCCTCCCAGCTTCGCTCTTTCTTCTCCTCTCACTCCCTCCCTCCATGAACCCCTCCAATCGAGTTTCCGTGCTGCCCACAGCACAGAAACTGCTCTGGTCAAGGTCACAAACGACATCCTGACCACATGTCACCAGGGCTCCCTCTGCCTCCTCATCCTCTCCGCTGCCTTTGACACTGTGGACCACTCAATCCTCCTCCACCGCCTCTCCTCCCACCTCAACCTTCAAGGTTCTGTCCTTGACTGGTTTAGGTTCTACCTTTCACACTGCCTCCACTTCGTTACGGCAAACAGCTCCTCCTTTAGCCCCCACACTATCTCGTGCGGTGTTCCTCAGGGCTCTGTCCTCGGTCCCCTCCTCTTCACCCTCTACATGCTCCCCCTTGGTGACATCATCCGCAGACATGGGGTAACTTTCCACATGTATATGGATGACACCCAACTCCACCTCTCTGCCTCCACCCTCAACTCCAGGACAACTGGTGTCCTGACCGACTGCCTGTCCGACATCAAGTTCTGGACGAGGGACAACTTTCTCTTCAGGCTGCCGAAATCCTCACCCATGCATTCGTCACCTCAAGGTTCGACTACAGGAACTCCCTCCTCATCGGTCTTCCCAACTCTTCCCTTCACAAGCTGCAGTTCCAAAACTCTGCAGCTAGTGTACTCTCATGCACTAGGCTCTGCGACCTCATCACTCCTACCCTCGCCCGACAGCACTGGCTCCCCATCTCCCAGAGGATCAAATTCAAGATCCTCATCCTCACCTTTAAGGCCATCCATGGCCTTGCCCCCTCTTACCTCTCTGACCTGCTAATTCCCTACCAACCTGCCCGCTCCCTAGGTTCAGCGGGCTCCGGTCGAACTGCCCTACCATCGGTGGCCGGGCTTTCAGCCTCTCTGCCTCCACACTCTAGAACTCCATCCCACGGTCCCTTTGCCTCACTTCCTCCCTTGTCTCCTTCAAGGCCGGTCTCAAGACCCTTCTCTTCCATTGTGCCTTTGGTCGCCCTCCCACCTCTTTGCCTTCTCTCACCCCTACACCACCCCTCCCCTATGCTCGGGCCCCGACACCTGACTGTTCAGAGCTTTGGGACGTACTCCCGACGTGAAAGGCGCTCTATAAATGTAATTTTGTTGTTGTTATAGGAAAGAAAATCAAACTGCCCTGCTGTTAAAAATACTGATCAATATCAAATCAGCTATCATGGAGTATCCGATATGTACAATGCATATGAGCTAGAATAGCTAATTGAATATTATTTTTTTAAAAATAGTATCCAATTTCATTTCTCCTAATTGACACACTCCCCACTGTGCTCCTGGTCAGACTGTCTCTTGCTGAGTGGTGGGTCCACAGGCATCGGATGCCCTCAGTACCCACTGATGTAGCCATTGGGACCTGTGTTTTAACATCAGCAAAAACAGCATTGTGATGTGCAGGCTGGAAAGCAGGCTGACCCGTTCATTTGGCCGAATTCCTAATCTCAGAAACGATATTCTGAGGTGCTGAGCAAAGGTCAGGAGTTTCCTGGAAGAGAGAGCAGGAGTCTCTGCATACAGCCGGCTATTCAACTAAACGGTGACATTAACAGTGGCCTAGTAATATGCTGCACAGTCAATCTGATCTCTCAAATGCATGTAATGACTGTCCCAAGGGATTGCAACTGAGAAATGTGAGTTGGTTGGTTGCCTGGGAGGGGGTGTGAAAGCGAGGAGAAAAAGGCAGCCAATGCTTAGCTTTCACTGCAATGCAAACATTATTTTTTTAAAAATAAATAAAATAATGCGTAGAAAAGTTGAAATTTGTTTTAAATCCACTTGTGTGGAAATCCCCCACAACCCAAGTTAGCAATAAACAAGCTACTTTCCCACAATGGGGTTCTAATGAAAAGGAATATTTCACAATGTTATTTCACAATGTCATGTTTCATCAGATTCTTTGGAGTTGCTAAAATGTCATTACAGGAAGTGTTTAACAGTAAAATGTCAACTTGAAGGTCAACATATTCATTCACTCACCTTCCCAGAGCTGCAAGCTTTGTGGTGCCACTGAAGGCCAGATAACCAGACTATTGGCTTCATAGAGAGGATTCAGAAACTTCTCCAACACATTTGGTCTGTTCACCCATGACCACAGAGAGACAGTCTTCTGCTGAAGCTTCAACTTCCGCCTAGAAGTATGAATTTGAAGGAAGAAAACATTCTCCTCATTTCTTTCTTTTCAGAAACAATAAAGTCAAACGAACTTCAGTTAACCATCATTTTACTATAGTTCTGACTGAATCATAAACTCAGTTATTGGTTACGCTTCAGTTGTGCTTGTAATTCACAACAGTCTGGAGCATTTTTTGCAAAAACCCATTTTCAATTCTAGTTGAACATTACAGGTTTAAGTGACTGAAATTTACAATACAATTTACATTTATATAGCACCTTTCACATTAGGAGGATGTCTCAAAGCACTCAACAGTGGGATGAGAAGCACAGTTGCCATTTCTAAACTAATGCTAATCTTTACATTTGGTACAGCACCTATTAGCAGTGTGGAAATGTCTCAAAGTACTTCACATTATAGTTAAGTGTAGTAACTATTTCTGGACAAACAAGATAACCAATGGGCGTACAGCAATGTCCCACAAACAGCCATTAAATGAATGATAAATTTTATTTGGGAGATTGTGGGCCTGGACACTGGGAGAAACTCCCCTCTCTTTTAGTGCCATGGAATCTTTACATTCACCTGAACAGGCAGACAAGACTTTGGTTTAACATCTCATTCAAAGCACTGCCAAAGCAGAAAGCTACCTTTGCACAACCACCCAGTTTGCTCTCTAACATTCTTTAAACGTTGGGCAAGTTTCCTTACTCCACACGCCTCTGTTTAACATTGGCGGATCGCTTTTTCATAGTTATTAATTGTTTTTAACAATTGGCTACGTGGCATTCCACATTAAATTCCCATTGCACCCCTCCTCCCCTCCCTCAATATTGTAAAACTGAGATGTTGTGAAAGCATTACTTATGGTGACAACTAATTTAATTCTTAACTACTTACTCCCTCTGGTGGAGAGGGGAATACAACACCCATGTTTTCTTTTTACAGCAAGTTGTGTATTTTTAAATGTGTGTTGCCCTTGTCCTCTCCTACACCAAGCTTCATGATCACATTCCAGGAAGCCAGTGGAGCCATCCTACCTTGGCTCCACATCCCCCAGCAGATCAAATTCAAGATTCTCATCCTCACATTCAAATCCCTCACTGTCCGCCACTCTACCCATGCAAACTGTAATGATCCAGCGACTGACTCCGCTCAGCGAATACAGCTGCCTCATATCTCCCTCCTGATCCACCCCACCATCAGTGGGTGAGCTTTCAGTTATCCTGCCCCTATTCTCTGGAATTTCATCCCGAATTCGCTCCTTCTCTTCCAACTTTTAACAGCTTTTTTTTTAAAAAAAAACTGTTTTGTTTATCTCTCGCCCCCTTGTCACCCTCCTCTGCTCAGCTTTCTTTTCTTGTTTTACCGCTCACTTTATCCTCTCACAACTCAATCACATGTTGGTCTAAAGTAACCTGATTTGCAATTTTTAGCCTTAACCTTAATTACTAGATAAAATTGAGCTATAAATGATCAGTAGAATCCAAGTGCCCACCTACTTATAAGCCTGAAAGATTACTAAATGCTGCATCTATTACAGCAGCTGCCCCATTTCTTAGCTTCACATGATGCATTAAGGTGCAGTCGCTGATTATAACTATAACGTTGTTTGTATTCCTCCCTTTTGACCTGGTCTGACTGCTTTCTTGCTGGGACAGTCCCCCTCTCCATGATTACATTAGGATTTTCACCTATGGAATATTGAACCCTCTCCCATGATCACTACCTCATGATTTTCTATCGTCTCACTTCCCCGTTTAAAGCCTCCCCCCTCCCCCACACCATGTACCTGAGAATTTGGTGTCAAGATTCAAAACTATTGAACCTTCAGGAATCTGCACCCTCAATGAAGATCCAGCTTACTATTAATTTTGTTGATCCTTTTTATAGTGACTTTTGAACGGTTTATTCGTACTGGTCGGTACTGAACGAGGAGTTCAACAATTGCTATACTTTTTAAATTAACCTGAACTTTCAATGAAAAATTCATGCAATAAAAACCTCTACTATGTTGTTACCATGCAAATCACTAAGATCTCTCAAGGTCCGGGCACAAATTCAGCAAAGCACTCTAAGACATTGCTCCACACGAAGGGCACAATATAAATGCAAGTTGTTATAACAACCAAACAGAATTAAAGTAGTGTAGTTCAGCACCAATCATACTGGAGTGTAGGCTTGAATCGTTGACAGTGGCCGACATTTGAACTAACTGGTTCTTATTGAATGACTCACTAGTTCTTGGTCAAGCTGTTGGGTGGAAAACAAAGTAGCAAAGAGCTAGCCAGTTTCACCCTACATAAATAGGAGACCAAGGCTCCTGGCTGTGGAGAAACTTGACTGAGGACATGATGCCAAGGAAGGAGCAAGAGAAAAATATGGAACGCAAATGATTGATATTTTAGTAAACACAGGCCAACACAATGATCCAGTATCACCAACCTTTCATTTTCATTGTTGCCCAAGAAGGTTCCAAACTGGGAGGCATAGGCATGCTCGAATAACATGATCAGGAACTGTTCATTAAATTGGAAAGAACATGGGAACTGGCGCTGAATCTGCCAGCAGCAGTCTAGGAAGAGGAGAAATACAGGTGCCTCATTCTTCTGCTTAGAATTGGAATAGGCTGACTGAGAACAGCGCAGTTGGAAAGGGTGACCAGCCTGTAAGAAATAAACCGGTATGGATATTAGATTTAGTTTTCTCCACTGTCCCCACCAAGATTCAAGAGTTCCTTTCAAGTCGTGGATCTCATGCAAAGAAACACTTAAAACAAAAATCAGTTATTTTCTACATGACCTGCTCATTACAAAAACTGAGGTGCTGGATAACAGTGTGCTGCATTCTGAAGGCTGCAATAGTCCATTAGCGAATTACTGGAAATACTAACCATTATCTTGTCTTTGGGAGGTGGCGGGGGGTGGGGGGGGTAAGGAAATTAAATAAATCAAGAGTTAGTTGGCTGTCTCACACAAATTGGCCAGTTTTGGTGTGGTACAGAAGCCTGAGCCGAAACAAAGAAACAAAGATTGTGTGACAGGAGTTAAGAAAGGATAGAAAAATGTTGAAAAGAGCAACTAGTCACTATTTGCAATAAGTAAGTGTCATCCTATAGAATTATAATCTGTTTAGAGCAGTAAACAGTGTAATGCTGCTTATAGAACATAGTACTGTTTGAAACATTACCACCTCTCCTGTTACTTATCCCCGGAAAAGGATCAGCTCAGCTGATTGGCACCAAAGTTTAAAAGAAATGATTACAACACTCTCTCCCACACAACTCAATTGATTTAAAAAAACAAATACAGAGAAACTATAGATCCCTTCAACTTAACACTACTACATGCTTTCTAAAGAAAGCACAGTTATTTCTGTTGATATTGCACAGGAAGTAACGTTAGCAGCGACTTAACAATCCAAAAGCCAGCCATGGTTTCATGTCTCCCTTATAAACACTGGGCCAGGAATACTGGACCCAGTCGACTGCACCATAACAAGATTTCCCTCTAGGTGTAGAACTTTTTTTTAAAAAAATGCGTGTATATTTTAACTTTTCCTTTACTTAGGGGTCTAATTAAAGTTCTGATTTAAATGTAATGCAAACCAGAAGTACTGTATTTCAAAACAATGTTTTTTGACAAAGAATTTTACAAACACAGATAATTTGTTCTGTTACCACACCATTTGTCAGCCAAAAAAAGGCACAAAGTGATAACATCAGCAAAGAATTTGGGATGAAAACTGTTGCAAATATAATTATGACTCACCTAAAATTCTTTGCTAATGTCATCACCTTGTGCATTTGATGGAAAATAGTGCAGCAATAAAACAAATTCTCTGCATTTGTAAGAATATTTGTGAAAATAAAGTTCCATTAATGTCCTTGGCAATTGAAGTCCAATTTGCTACAAACTTACCTGCAACCATTCTCGTTCAATCAAGGCCTCAAACCCACGGATTGTTCTAGACTGTGGATCCAGGATAATATGGGCAATAGAAGTAACTTGCAACGTGGTGTCAATCCCTTCGCTGCCGTGAACCAGCACTGATGCTCCCTCCCTAAAGCCACAGTAACAGTTCAAAATGCTATTAGGTTAATACTCTTTTTTTAAAAAAAGGTACAGAACATACAACCTGTCAAAAAACGGTAGTTTCGCCCACAAAGTACACAGTCAATTCACTTTACAGTATATTCTGTGAAGCGCTAGAAGACATCATAAGGCGCTATATCAAATGCAAGGATTATTTAATATTATTATCGAACACCAAAATACAGGGCCTTGCTTGCATCTTTTTCATATTTTCAGAGCAGTATTAAAAAAATCCTTACGTTTGGTAAAGTGCCTTTCACATCGGGAGGATGCCCCAAAGTACTTCAAAGAATATTGTATAAAAATAATCCTTACATTTGATGTAGCGCCTTATTGCTTCTTCAAGATGTCTCAAAACGCTTCACAGAATATGCTATAAAATTAATTGACTGTATATTTTGTATAGTGACTAAGGGAAAATGAAGTTGTGCACAGGAAGGGGAAAAAAACATAGGTTTTTGAGATGTTCAATTTATAAGGTGTCAGAAGTGTGACTTTTTTGCTCTTTATGTTAAATACAGCATTTCTGAACAGCACTATGGAGATTGAGGCAGTTTGTGGAAATGTTGGGCAAGGTTACACAAACCGCATCTTCCTTCCACATAAAGCCCATACTACTGAGTTAATTTCAACCAAGGTTCAAGCTTTAAGAAGTATTCTATAATGAAAATGCTTATTCTCTAAGGTAGAAAGGATAATTTCTCTCTCCATAATTTCCTAAAACATCTTGTTTAAGTGATACAGTATTTCAAGTTAATTCTCAGTGAACCAGAAACTGGTGTAATAAACCAGAATTTACGAGGCAACATCAAGCTATGTAAAATATGGTTGGACGTCTCATTTTCAAGAAACTTTTTTTTAAACAAAGGGAAAACATCACACATTATAATCATTTCATTAGATATGTCCAGAGTCTCGTCAGATAAATTAAGCTTGAATCTTGAGAAAATTCAAACGTGCTTTGAAGTGAAAAGAAAGAGTAATTGTCATGCAACTTCTTTCCCCTTCAGGCTAGATCAAAGAATAAGGGTAGTCAACTACAAAGGCAACAACGTGCACACACAGCAAAAAGAACCACACACACCTAACTGTCCTAACAAATAGACTCCTCACCTGTCGATGCACTGAGCTGCCAGGCAAGCAGTGGTTAATATTTCTTTGATGTGTGTGAGCCAGTTGGAGGCTTCTAGTTTGCTGAGCCATCGATCCATGTTGTGAGATTGGTCATTGGAAGCTTCAACCAGTTTAATCAAACTCTCTTGAAGAATGTTGTACCTGGCAATAAAAAAATAAATAGCTTCTCATATAACAGACATAGCAAGCTGCAACCTGGCACCCCTCTTTGGTAACAAATAAATTCCAGAGAAAAAAAAAATCCCATTTGGAAATTTCCCTTTACCTGGAGTATAGAAATGATAGTTAATCAACACCATCAACACACAATTAGTCAGCTTTGCTCAGCGGTAGCACCCTTGCCCCTGAGTCAGAAGGTTGTGGATTCAAGCCCCACATCAGGATTTGGAATCACGTAGTCTAAGCTGACAGTCCAATGCAGGTATACTGCATTGTCAAAGGTGCCATCCTTTGGATGAGATGTTAAACCAAAGTCCTGTATGCCTGTTCTGGTGGATGTTAAAGATCCCATGCACCACTTGAAAAGAGAAAGGAAGTTTGACTCTCCTAGTCAACAATCTCCCTAAATAAAATTGGTAACTCTGTTTGTGGGTCGTTGCTGTGCCAATTGGCTTCTGCATTTCACCCACAAAATACAATCAAATCACTTTACAGAATATCCTGTGATCCGCTTTGAGTTCTCTTGACCCTGTGATAAGGCGTTATATCAAATGCAGGATTATTATCATTATTGTAAAAGCCCATTTACATCCATTCAGGCCTAATATTTAGTGTCTTTCCTATCGGAGAAAACTACAAACAATGGAAAGTGCATGTAGGAGGTTTGTCTGAAGACAATAAGATAGCTTGATGAAATTACTAATCTTGGTCTAATTTTTATAAGGAAGAATTCTAATAACAATACTTATATTTGATATAGTGTATTTAATAATAATTCTTGCATTTAATATAGCACTTTTCACGTCTTCTACACATCTCAAAGCGCTTCACAGACTGTAAAGTGAATTGTGTATTTGTGGGCAAAACACGGCAGCCAATTGCGCACAGCTGTATCCCGCATAGTCATGGATTGAAGTGACCATTTATTATTTTTTTTCTTCAGAGATTATTATCAGGCGTGTGGAGTAAGGAAACTTGCCCAAGGTTTTGCCCTGCCAGGAACTGAACCTAGATCTCTTACTTGTGAGGCGAGTGCTCTAAGCACTGAGCTACAGGACTCCACGATTATTTCATGTCAGGCGGAAGTCTCAAAGCAAATCACAGGATAATAATAATCATAATGATATACTGTAAAGCAGAGTGATTGTATATTTGAGGGCTAATGCAACAGCCAATTTGTGCACAACAATGTATCTCAAAGTAATATCCAGTAGTCAGGTCTCCGTTCCCACAAAAATACTTTCCACTGTTGCAAGTTGCATCATGCCAGCTTTCCCTTTTAAGACAGATTTGGGATCAAAAACTACTTTACAAATATACTGAGGGTTAGGGTTAAACACAAATTGGCAATGTCACACAATACAGTAACAGCTACTGTGGAAGATGTCTCTCTAGTGCACTAGAGGGTGCTGTTCACAGGCTGGTGCAATGATTTATTGCTGTGACAGATTCTCACTAGCTTCATTTGGTACCTGCTCCATATTATTCTTGACCTGGAGACGTTTGATAGCGATTTGAGATACCAACAGTTTCTATCAGTGTAATTAACTCACACCTTTGTGAACACATGTAACCAAACACACAAGGATAATAATTGGATTAATGCAGCATTAAAATAAAATGTGGTTTATTCAAAGACAATACAAAGGAAAGAATATTATGCAGATATCATCAGTCTCTCTTTTTGATTTAAAAAAAACTGTTTTAATTAAAAAGCGATTAGAGGTTTGACATGACGGATACAAAAGTTTATGCAAAAAATGTATTTTGTATTCCTCAAAGGGATTAAATTGGCCTATTGTGAACTATTAAATTTAACAAGGTGATCTTGATGAGGCTGATTGCACAAGCTGCTTATGTACACTGATCATGATTGCAAAAATGAATCATTCAGGGACCACCAATGAATACACAAGTGACTCATGCAGACATGGATCCTGCAAGTAAATCACACAGCCTCAGGGCTTCCTCCATCAAGATGCTGAACTTCATGGCAGATCAAAATGATATTAAACCCAACATTGCACACCAAAAAGAAGGCTGCAAAGATTTTTGCACCATTATATAACCATTGTACCTGCAGGCTAATATATAGTTACAACTGAAAATGTCTTGTAAAAGACAAATTCCCCTGTTGCCTAGTACATTTAATGGCACCATTTTATTGAAGTATAGTGAGGGTGGGTTAACCTCCAATGTTTCATTCAAATCCAATCCTGGAAAATTTGGAACACACATGTTGATTTGAAAGGAATACGCAAAATAAATTTGGAAATCACTAAAACCCCGGCTGCCTGGACTAATTGAATTGTCCACTTTAGCAGACTGCTTTTCACTCAGCAAATTACCATATTGTCCAAATATAAGGTGATTTCAGTTATAAGGCCCCTCTCACCCCAATGTTCATATTTATATTTGGAGGACAAAAGTGTAAGACAGTAAATATAGCTCTGTCAAAAAGCATGTTCTAATTAATATTACATTTAAAATGCTGGCAATTTAGACTATACTCCATGACTCGACTGATCCACACTGTTAGGGATACATGTCCCTAGAAACCTCGCATACATGTACAATTTTGCAAACGTCAAGGCAACTAGACTTTTTTTGAAGGCATCTTACAGTCCCATAGGATTCCACTGACTTTGGTTAGTCTGTGAATATAAGGTGAAAAGCAATTTTGAAGCTTTCACCAAAACTTTGCCCTATATACAGAACATGGTAATGGGGTATAGTTCTGCACTCTTTGGTGGTTTCCTCTGCTTTGCCCCCCAGCCCACCCCCCAACTTTATGCAGAATCCATTATAGAATTTGATTTAATTGTAACCATCTCATTTTTTTTTTACAATCCACCAAATCCTATACAATGATCTATAAATTTCTTTCCACATGATCCAACTGTTGGCACAAATGCAGCAGAACCCTTTGACGTGCTAACTGGCATGTCCACATTAAGGAGGCAAAAGTGACAAAACAGGTCAAATAGCCACAATCGTCTCTTACCTTTCTATGGACTTGTGGATACGTCTCCACTGAGGGTAATGGGGTTCCTGCTCAAAGCCACCTCCTTTGGCTCTGGCTTGCTGAGCAACATTAACTGATCTGGTGTCAATGATGTAGCCACGTTTCCCTGCCCGCAGGGTGGCATTAATCAATTTCTCATCCTCCTTACACCGTCTCCCAATGGTTCCAGTCAACGGCTGTCCACTACGCATCATGACCTAGAAGTTAAGTTTATTATTAGCTAAGGTAGGAAATGTATTCCCTTTTAAACCATTTAACATTAACAACAATTTTGCTTTTTGTCTTAAATTTGATCAGGTTTCTATTATATATATGGGAAAGATGCAGGATGCAACTTTGAGACACTACTTGTGTGAAGGGCGCAATATAAATGCAAGTTGTGAACCATTTGCATTATTCTTGGAAAGGGATATGCATGAAATACGACATGTAACAAAAATACTCAAATAGAGATATCACAAAGCAATTTGCAATATAGTTCTTTTTCACTTATGGCGTTGAAATCACTTGGTAATGTTTTTGAAAGACATTTTAGAAAGTTCCAATAGCTCTATAGGCTGGGCAATAAATTTTTAATTAAACATCTGGTCTTATATAATCAGACAATTTTCAAATGGAAGCATGCATATTCATAATAATCCAGCTTTTCACATTCATCTGCAGTAAAGAACCGTAAAATTATGAGTTTTTTCAATTGTTAATATGGCTAGTGCAAATAAATTTAAGTGGATTTAATAGGAAATTCAACAGCACTTGTACAAATCTGTAAATCTGATCGGTTTAAATAGTATAATCGCCTAAACCGTACATCTTAGTATGATTTATACAGATCAAACTTATGTGAGGTTTGCTGTACACCAAAAATTGGCACCATGCAACAAAATAATTGTCATTTAAGCAAAAGAAACTGGGTGCAACGGTCCACAGTATATCCCACGTTCAACCTGGGCGTGTTCTAAGCAGGCCACACAATGTGTGCACTCTATATCTCTCTTTTAAAACACAATGATGGTCCATATTCTCAAGTGAACCAAAAGTAAAGCTATAAACAGAAAACAGTATTTTTTGGTCAATAAAAACGTACAACAACAAAATTACATTTGTATAGCGCTTTTCACGTTCCCAATGTGCTGGACAGTCAGTGTTTCAGATCCAAGCTGGGGGTTGGGATTGGGGAGGGTGGAGGGCATGGGGGGGTGGGGGAAGCAGGGCGATCAAATGCACGGTTGAAGAGGAGGGTCTTGAGATGGGTCTCGAACGAGGCAAGGGAGAGCGCGAGGCAGAGGACTGCAGAATCGACTTCCAGAGTGTGGGGGCAGAGTGGCTGAAGGCCCGCCCGCCAATGGTGGGGTAGGCGAGGCTGGAGAAGTGTAGCAGGCCAGAGCCCACTGAGCGGAGGGAGCAGGTAGGATTGGTAGCGAGTTAGGAAGTCGCAGAGTTAATGGGGAGCAAGGCCATGGAGGGCTTTGAAGGTGAGGACCAGGATCTTGAACTGTATCCTCTGTGTGAGCAGTGGAAAGCAGTGGAGCTGGGCGAGGATGGGGGTGATAGGCTCATAGAGCCTGGTGCGAGAGAGGACACAGGCTGCAGAGTTCTGGATGATCTGCAGCCTATGGATTAATTTACTAAATTAAATTTTGTACTAAATTAATTTAGTGTAGAAAACAAACAGAATTCTCAAGGGTAAAAGCTCAAAATAGTTGAGTAAGAAAACCACAACATATTAACTAGGCATCTTGCTTGTTTAAATCGATCACTACACACACAAAAGTGCATGCTCTATGCAACTAGCAATATGGACCTATTATTAGCACAATTATTTCCGGTTGTTGCATCTTTCAGGATGTTGTATTTATTTATGGCTAAATGACGTCATACACAGCGATGATATTCAGCAGATTGGACGCCGACATGAAAACAGAGTTGGAAAGGGGATAAAAAGCACTTACTGAAGATAAACTTAATCTGATGTCTCCCAGTACCTCCCACATTGTTGAACTAATGTGCCTCTCATCTATAATCCAACATCAAATTTGGGGAATTGTGAGTCAATTTTTTTCTTTTTTTAAAAGATGTCGAGAGGAGTTGTAATGGTATAATAATTTCCAGCACCATATGTATACATACTAGCTGTACCCATTGCAGCTGCGCTTGCAACCAAAGGATCCAATATAGAATGTAGATTGGCACACACACACACTTACTTATCCTTGAAAGGCATCTTTATAATGATAAATATGTAATTTATAATCACTGGGATGTTCTCCCGACATGAAAAGCACTTTATAATGTAATTTTGTTGTTGTTGCCGTGGCTTAACTTCGTCTGTGTTCTTTATTTTGTTTCCACGGTCACTTGGCTACGTGCGTGCTCTGTGACGCAGGATGCCACAACGCCACGGTCAGCCAATGCGGCTACCCGGTGTAACTGCACGATGCCACAGCCCCACTTTGACTTGGCTGCCACCAGGTGTAACTGCAGCAAAAAACGCAAAACTGAAATACATTTTAGGTCATAAATCATGAATGATAGATAGGAGATACTCGAAAACAGATATGCCCATGTCACTCCCAGATGCAAGACCTTGCCGATAAGGAATAAATCATGCCTCTACTTCATTCGGTTATTGAGATCCTTCTTGAAGCACACAGACATTGTCGTTTTAGGGTTTTATATATATATATATATATATATATATATAACCCTAACAATTGTTTTTAAAGAAACTAAAATGTAAATTGTCTAGTTTTCATACAATAGTTATAGTATTACTACAAGAATCTGTATATTTAGAAGTACGGTATTGTATTTGATCATAAGTACTATTGCATTTTTATTCAAAGTGCTTGTTTGTTCAAATCTATTTCAACCAGTCTCTCTCCACTTTCAAAACCCTCCTAAAGTATCTAATGAGTTTTCCAATGAATATTGGAGTATTGTCCAAATATTTTTTTTTAAAAAATAGCTTCTCTGCGTAGGAACTGAACCACCAACAATGCACAAACCTTCCATTGGAGGGTGTGGAGATTTGTAGTATTGGTTAGCATTATTGGTAATTCAAAGTCTACAATTCTCTGATCTTTTACAATGGAAACTATCAAAAGGTCTGGAAAGTGTCAATTATTGATCAGTTGCTGAAACAGCAGACCTGCAACCTGCTGGACTGGACAAAATGAAACCATAACAAGCCTGTTTGCTGCAGCCTAGTTGACCTAGTATTTGTTTTCTTGGTTTATAAACAGTAAATTAGTTCGGCATTTGGTCCCCATCTCATGCCAATTCATGGCTTGGGGTTCAAGCTCCACATTATCACTCAAGCCTCATGCAACAATGGGGTAACGTTGTATTTTTAGAAGCACTCAATTCAAGTGAATTGTTTTCTTCTGCCTCTCATCCCCACCCTGTCCCCGTCCTCCACAATAACATTAAAGACTCCATGGTACTATTCGGAAAGTGAACAGCATTTTTCATGACATTTTCTGGTAAACAATCTTAGACAAAATTAGTCATTCACCTCATGGCTGTTTGTAGGAAATTGCTGAGCGCAAATTGGCTGCCTTGGTTGACTACAAATACAGTCACTACACTTCAGTTAAAAAAAATCCTGTGAAACGCTTTGAGATGTTGACGATTTGATATCAAATACAAAGAGTGCTATCTTCTCCATAATTAATTCATAATTTGTCCAAATGCAAAGACTAAATAACAGCATGACAATTCATCCAGCAGCCCATCTAAAAAACATATCCAATAATGCCAAAGCAAGAATGTTTGTACTTTTTATAGTAATTTGTTTTTCTATAAAGAATAACTAAAAAACAGGGTTCTATGTTTCACCATTAAAAAGCACAATTTTCATTACTCAATTACAGTTACACTGAATGGTTTAGCAAATTTAGATTCATGCAATACTACAAATTATAAAACTGATTTACAATTTGTCTTCAGCAGAATTATTTGAACAGTTATTCAAAATAAATCTTTCACAATCAGATCCAATTGTCCCACGCTGGCCCGAAAGAGTTAAATTAAAGTTGAAGAAATGTTGCTTTGCTGAATTTTATTTAAGAGTGAAAAACTGTTGTGAACTTTCCTACTTGAAATATGGTCTTTTAATTTTATACTTTTAAATCAGACTTGTGCAGACTGAGGAAAGGAAACATGGAAAGAGTTAAAAAAGACAAGATTGCTTGGATCAAATTACAGAAAAAGTACAAAAATTAGATAATTGAACCCTACAGCACTATGGTAAAATGGCACCAGTGAAAGTGAGCAGATGAAAGAAAAGGCAGGAAGGTATCATGGCTAAGTGACTTATCACCTCATTTTAATGCGTAAGTGGTTAGACTGATCAATAAACAGCCTGCAGACAACAAACCTCTCTGGGATACAACAGCTGAAAAGGCAAAATTTCTCAGTCATGATCTACATTTAAAAAGTGGAACTCAAGTGGAGACAAGGAACACAAAAATAGGAAATGTTAAAATTCTTCATGATGATAAATACTCGCTTATCTTGTAGTGCTGACAAAATGAAAAATGTCAACTGCTAGAAATCTGCAATTAAAAGATGAAAACACGGAGTAGGTGAATCATCATTTTAAAAGAGAAAGACGGATCAATTCAGGTGGATCACTGCACTAGAGAGCTTGGAGCCAACCCACGTTTTATAGTTTTTGATGACTGGCTGGCTCATCGGCAGAATGTGGAAGGGTAGACCAATCACTGGGGACAGGGAATCTTCCCACTCAGCTCTTGTTAACCCTGAAAGCCAAAGCCCTAACAGCAAGGGTATTCCTAACTGGACAAGCAGCGGGAAAGCTTGCCAGACAACTATATCAATTGCAAGCTATGCGATTTTAGCAGTACTCCAACGCACTCTATGGAGTCCCCAAGTTTTGGCTCTTGCCAACCTGCACCTATGACCTTTTGGAATTAGGTAAACAGGATGCGTCCCTCCAGGGAGAGTGTGCATTCCATTCTAACAACAACAACTTGCATTTGTATAGCACCCTTCATGTGGGGTAGTGTCCCGGAGCGCTTTACATTGGTGGAGTCTGACAACGAGCCGGGGGAGAGGGAGCTAACCATAAGCACGATCAAAAAGGAAGGTCGTTAGGTGGGATTTGTAGGTGGTGAGGGAGGGGGAAAGGTGAAGTGATTGAGGGAGAGAGTGCCAGAGTTTTGGGGCATAATGGCTGAGGCATGGCCACCGATGTTGGGAACGGATGGCATGAGGTACTAATAGGAGGCCAAGAGGCAGCTGAGTGGAGGCAGCGGGTGGTGGAGTGGCGGTAGCAGGTCGGAAAGGTAGGGATGCGCGAGGGAATTAAGTGATTTGAAAACAAGTGACAGGATCTTGAAATCAATCCTTCGGTGATTGGTAGTCAGTGGAGCCTGGCAAGGACTGGTGTAATGGGGGTACAGAGTTTCATGAGGAGGAGTTTTGAATGAATTAGATTTTGTGTGTGGTGGAGCTGGGGAGGCCAGCGAGGAGGGCACTGCAATATTCCAGCCGGGAATTAATGAAGGCGTGGACGAGGGTTTCAGCTGCATCAGCTGTGAGCTACGGACAGAGGCAGACAATCTGGTGGAGGTGGAAAATAGTGGTCCTGGTCAGGGAACGGATGTGCATTAGAAATTCCAACAATCTATTTCTGGAATTTCTATATGTAGGTGGGTGCATAGAAATCTCTTACTTTTAAGCATGGTGATGGGTTTCTGCATATGTCAGTCACCCGGCTGACCAAAACAAAATTGGTTTGAGCTTTAGAGGGATCAGACATCATAAAAATCAATGATTTACCATTTTGAAACTATGGACCTTTACTTGGCCTAAAGACTAATGGTTTTATCAGAATAGGTAGGTACATCTAGCATTATATCTAATGATTCTCCCCCCCACCACTCAAATGAAAATACACATTTGCTATGGTAGTGAACTAACCGAATGCTCGAATATTCAATTAGTGTAATATCATGTCAGATATTGACAGATTCACATCAGTGAAAAGGCTCCATCAGTTATTAGTCTTTTACTTTTTTATTGATTGGAGAAAAGGGCTGTTGGCATCTTCAAATTGAAGTGGAATAGTAGCTCATAAACTACAGAAATCTTCATATTGAAGTGGGATTTCTTTCAATCTCAAATATAAATATAACTTGGGGAAGTCAGATAATCTCTTCCATAGTTGTGCAAATTTATAGCCTCATTTTGAAGCAGCCTTTTTGATTCTGTGCCCAAAGAGGGTGACACAGGAGCATAATAATCCCTCCAAAAACAATACTAAAATTGATCATTTTCAATCTACGACTGTTTGTGGGACATTGCTGTGCGCAGTTGGCTGCCGCGTTCGCCCACAAATATACAGTCAATTCACTTTACAGTGTGTTTTGTGAAGCGCTTTGGGACGTCCTCCCGACGTGAAAAGCGCTATATCAAACGCAAGGATTATTATTATTATTATTACTGGGAATTGGGAACTCAATTCAATACTGATGGCACAGGAATAATTAACACTTATGCTGAAACACTGCACTGTAATATCACATAAAAGTGAATATTAGAACATGCGAGTCATTTCAATTGGAAGGAAAATGAGAGGTTAGGTACAAGAAAATGTTTGTTTGCAATGACTGAACTTCAAAGAATGAAGAAGACTACCTATATTAAGTAACATAGCATTCTTCATTCATTCAATCTTCAAATACAAATAGGAAGTACATCAGAAACTGTAGGCAGGTCCCTTGAGGACTTATAGCTGCAAGCTAGTTGTAACAGAATCAAACAAAGACACTCTTCATTGGAGTAGTTAAGCCAAGGCAGCAATGTTAGAAACAACTGAAACATGTTCCAGGTATTTTTTTTATAGCTCAGCCAAGAGGCGGTCTACATGCATTAGTCAAAAAGTAGCCATGCAGTGACCTCCAACCTGCAGGTAGTTCCAAACCTACCACAGTTTCACAGCTCAGTTTGATACTTTGTTTAGTAATTGGCTTTCAAATGGTTTTGTTCTCAAAGATAGGGATATTAAGAGTAGCAACAATCTTCTGTCATATTTCTATCTGACACCCTGTGCACCTTGTGCTTCTCCATTTGTAAGAAACTTCAATTGCATTGCAGAAGCATCAGGATCAACACCATGGAGGTTTATGTAACTGTACTAGCAGTGGAAGGAAGCTAAGGCTACACCGGCAGCTTACAGTTGCTCTATGTGCAACGTGGCCATGAGATGCTGCCCAATCCATAACAAAAAAAATTTCACGACAATGCCAAAAGTTGTTCCAGGAAAAGGCTTTAAATCCAAAGTACACAAGCAAGCTGGAAACAGAAGTGCAACCGAGCTATAGGTATACAGACAGGTTTCAGTATTGAGCCCGGATCAATTGAACTGAAAGGAACATCATTCCTGCTCTTATTTGCTCCTTAAAAAGTTTTTTTTTTTGACCTAACACCTGCAGAAACCGGTCACCACCCTTAAGAGCATCCAAAGGACATTGCAAGTTCCATGCATCCCACCTACACATGGAAATTCTCAAGATATTTATTCAACTGGAATGCGCACTCTCTCCTTGGAGGGATGCATCCTGCTTTCCTAATTCTGGAGAGCATGAGGTGCAGATTGGCAAGAGCCAAAGCTTGGGAACCCCAGAATGTGGTTAGAGTGCTGCTGGAGTATAACCATTAAAACTGCATAGCGTGCCGATAAAAGCATGGTCGGTTAAGGCTTTGGCTTACTGAGTTAACAAGAGCTGAGTGGGAAGAATCCCTGCATCCAGTGACTGGTTTGCCCTTCCAATTCCTACGATGAGCCATTGGCTGTCATAAGCAGTGCGTTGGGAGTATTACAGTATTACAGGAATTGAACTACCGAGACAACCACAGAGTGTTAGCTCTTTAAACAGAAGACATTCAATAACAGAGCAGATTCCTTCAATTTATAACAAATTACTGAATGGGACAGTATCCCTCGGGATTTCCTCCTCCGCAAGAGCATGGAGAAAATTCCTATTTGTATCTACAGGTTGAACGAATGTGGAAAAAATTCCTTCTTGTTGTGGACTCACCATTCCATTCTTCTTGTGGTAGTAGCTGAGGACAGGAAAACGCCCACCTTGACGGAATGTAGCAACTTTTTTCAGTGTCTCATCATCAATCGATTTTGGCACAGTAAAAATGGGAGGATACGATGGACAGATTGTGAAATCCTTGTTCACATAACTCAGTCTCCATTCATCGGTCTGAGAAAATAAGTGCATGAAAGCTTTATGTACTCCACATTTCATTATAGAAAAGACAACGTCTCATTTGCAATTAAAAACGTACACTTAATTGATTTGTTGGTTGGGATATGAAAAGAAACAAATGGTCAATGGTCTGACTTTTCTTTAGTACTGGAAAGATGACACTTGTGGGTTAGCTCGTTTGTAAAGCTGAAAATGACCTTTTGTAAAGCCTTCAGTGTGGAAAACTTAAAATTTACAGTTCTCAAGACTGTATCTGGATGTTTTCCATCCAATTCTGAATGATAATAAGTCACTTCCTTCAAAAAAAAGTGAAAATGCAGAAATATCAGGCTTCTTAACAGCCAAGGAGCTGGTTCCTCAGAAAGGGAAGGTCATGCCGACATCATTGTCTGCTTTGCAGAAGTGACACTGGTGATGAACCGCATGATAACAGGCTGCACTGAATAGGAAGTGATTCATAGAATCATACAGCACAGAAGGAGACCATTCGGCCCATCGTGTCTGTGCCGGCTCTTTGAAAAGAGCTATCTAAATCAATCCCACTCCCCTGGTCCCTCCCCATAGCTCAGCCAACTTGTCCACCCCAAATAATTATCCATCTGCCACTTTCTTGCACTCACCTAGCCTGTCTATTTCTCTTTGCATTCTTCGTGTCATCCTCACAGATTACTCTCCCACCTATCTTTGTATTGTCCATGAATTTAGACACGTTAAGTTCTATTTCCTCATCTAAATCATTGATAAATCACTGGAACTCATTGGACCCTCTCCAATGCCTTGACATCCTTCCTAAAGTGTGGTGCCCAGACCTGAACACAGTACTCTAGCTGAGGTCCCTCTTCCGGTTGAGTATTTTCACCCGATTGTTCCTTGTCCCTTTCCATAAGTACTCTAAACCTCATGATGTTGTGATAACTGTTGTCCAGATGCTCTTCTACTGAAACCTGCTCCACTTTATTCCTCAGAACTAGATCCAGCACTGCTTCCTTCCTCGTTGGGCTGAAAACACCTAACAGAGTAACAGCTCCTTCTCTGCTCCTTAACGCGAACCAAATAGATATTCTACAATAATTATTTTCATATCATTATAAAGATTACAATTCGTAGTGTAATTAACATTGTCAGTATAATTTAAGAAAGAAGTTTTTAAGAGTCTCATAACGTCAAAATGATTTGCAGGTAATTATTATCAACTGTAGTGACTGATTTGTAGGCAAACAGCCCCACAATGTGGTTGAAGCACTCGGTTTGTGAGAAGGGGCATCTGGAAAGATGAGAAGCATTCGGCTTCAGGAAGCCATTATACTTTTTTCCTTTCATAAAAGCTGGGCAAAGTGTTTCAAAAAGATTCAAAAGGATGTCAGCATTTTCATGATCATTCTCAGAAATAATCTAGAGCCTAAGAAATAGCCTGTGGATATATATATATATGTTTATTTCTGAATCATTAGGGGACAGTTTTCCTTATTACTAATTGAAAACTAATGTACATATTAATTACATTGTATTAACGGATCTTATCCATCACAATGCAAATATGACATGCACAATAAACTGGGGCTGCTGCAAAAGTAAGGCTGAAGAAATAATAAAGGCTTTGGAAGATGAAAACACAGTGAGGAAAGTGAGTCATGCTGGAGAAGTGGGAGGCTAAAGGAAGCCTCTACAAAATAAAATTCTTTGAAGTCAGGAGTATCTGATCTTCCTCTTACTTCTACATACGTGTCAATCTGTTAAAACAATTATTCCTCCCACACAGTCAGCAATTGAAGGTCAATGTGAAAAATGCAAGCGCTTCATTCTGTACAGAACAGCCTCACAGTAACTCGAAACCACTATAGTACTTTTTTTAAAAACTGAAACATGACATCTTTTTTAAGGAATAGAGAATTAAATATTAGTGGTTTTGTATTTACTGACACTGATCCTACACCAGACTTTGAATCTCCTCATTTAACAAAGATCAGATGGGTCTCTGCTGGAATCCAACAATAGGAAGAGATAACCAGTTGAAGAGGTGGCTTTTAATCCAGTGAGATGCTCTTACTTTGTGGGATCATTGAACATGTCAATATATTTTTTAAATGTCTAAAGCTGTGCAGCTCACATACAGACCTTACATAATAATGATTAAAAAAAGCTTAAAAAAAACTTAATTTCTCCTAGTCTAATGTTAGTATTTTCAGGAAAGTTAAGCATTTTATTCTGTCATCCCAGCATTCTCATTTTCTCTCTTCCAATTGATTCTCCTCCCAGCCTTATCCAGTCATAAGTGGTGCTCCTCAGGCCTCTATCTTTGGTTCTCACCTTTTCACTATTTATATGCACGACTTACTTCCAAATGGACCCAGGTGACACCCAACTCTCTCTCTCCCTGCCTCTATCCTTGATTCCACGACCAATGCAGTTCTAACTGATTGTCTGTCACACATAATTCCTGGATGAGCCATAATGTGGTTCCCAATCCCCAAGGAAATCAAATTCAAGATCCTCATCCTCACTTTCAAATCTCTCCAAGGCCACACCCCTTTGCGAGCTCCTACAACCCTCTGTCCCAGCCGCTCCCTCCACTGAGCAAATGTCAGATAGCTCATGTCCTTCACCTACTCCACACCACTGTTGACGGGCAAGATTTCCGCTATTCTCCAGACCCTCTTCTTTGTGCCCTCCCTCAGCTTCTTCAAAACACACCTTAGGACTGGTCTATGACTAATCTGTTCACCACTTGTCCACCTCCTCAGCTCTCCAGTAGCTCCGGTTTTCAACCAGCTGTGTGAAGTGCTTTGACGAGTCCTTCTGATGTGAAAGGTGCCATTTACATATAAATTGTTGTTGAACTTACTAGTTCTGAAAGCAGAGTAAACTCATGTTCTGGAAGGAAGGAGTGCCACCCGTCTTCTAAGACTTCAAACATTGGACGATAAAAGAAAGGATACATCAGTGTGGTGGAATCCAGAGTAGATAAAGCCTAGATAGGACAAAGTAAGGTTATAATCACTACCAAAGATATTCAGTGAAATTATTACAACAGAGGGAAATAATTATTGGAAAACAACAAAATCTTAAATCTAAACAGAATTAATTACTTGGGTTGAATCATCGCAATATCGTTAGAAATATCACAGACACATCTTGAACAGCTAAATTCTCAACATTACCAACATATGAAACTTTTCTATTGTTTGGTTTATAATGAACCATCAGAAAAAGGCTGCAAGATCACTCTATTGTCAATACTTTCAACTTTGTGAATGGGCTACAAACTCAAGCACATCATATGAACTAAGTATCAGTTAGAAAGATCATCATACACTGGTGAGGTGAAATATAGGTAAAAGGAACTCCTTGTCATGAATGCAGGAACTTAGAAAATAAAGGGTATTTAATTGTTAAGAAATTTAGGGTATAAAAGAGGAGGCGGCTCAAATTATGTAAAGTCATTGTCACTGTCACTGAGGAGTAGTAACGGGGGATTACCACATTGTTGGAGGGGTCATATTTTGGATGTTAGAATAGATCCCACCTTCCTCTTCAGGTGAACTGAAAGATAAAGATCCCATGATATTATTTGAAAAGACAAGAGAATTTCTCTTATTGTCCTCGTCAACAATCCTCCAGATTTGGTCATTCATCAAAGTGTTGTTCGTGGGCCTTGCTGGCACAAATGATTATGGTGTTTGCCTATAAAACAGTTCCTATTCTTAATGTTCACCTACAAATTACACAGTTTACAACAAATCCTCTGAAATGCCTTCAGAAAATGTTGAAGCTTGAAGGAACCAGGATTGTAATTCCATTGCATCTTGCCCAGTTTCACAGACATATTATCAACTTCCCTATCAGTTAGCCGATTCAATAGCCATCAATGGGGGGAGAAAGTGAAGAAACAGGAAATGATTGTTGTAAAATAATGTTAGTGAATGCAGAATTATCACTAGCTCACTAGTTTAGCTGCATGGAATGCTTTGAGATGTCCTCCTGACGTGAAATGTGCTATATAAATGTAAATTGTTGTTCCTAGTTACGCACAGAGCAAATGCCTTTGCTAGCAGAAAAAAGACTCAGAAATACCTTTAGAAATATGTTTCCAGCATGCAAAATGTAGTCATAAAACTGTTTACTATTCCTCATAAGTGTTTGACATTATCCAAAAAATATTAGCTTTCATTCTTGTTCTAATTCAATTTACTTAATTAATACAAGACTTGAACCAATTAAACAATCAGAACTTACTATAAATATTTCTCACTCTCCCCTTTTAAAATATTATGCCTTTGTGGGTGATTAAACTGAGGTCGGAATGAGGTGTATTGCATTCTAACTGTGTGCAATTGGCTGTCTTGTTTCACCCACAAAATATACAGTCAATTTGCTTTACAATATATTCTGTGAAGTGCTTTGAGACGTCTGGAAGACGTGATAAGGTGCAATATCAAATGCAAGGATTATTATTATCAACACACTTCTTTCCAGTAAATCCAGCTTTCAGTAACTTCTCAAGTGGTGCTCGCCGGTTCAAAGTTAAAACTGTTCTTTGCAATTGGCCAAAATTGTTCTTGAAGCTCAGTGGTTAGAGCACTTGCCTCGCAAGCGAGAGATCTGGGTTTGATTGCCGGCAGGGCGAAAAACTGGGTAAGTTTCCTTACTCCACACGCCTCTGTTTACTTAGCAGGAGGAACCCAGTTGTTAGTCAATTGGCAGATCGCTTTTCCAGAGGTAATAATTCCTTCAAAAAACAATTTGGCCACATCAATCCAACACTGTTGTGGGACACTGCTGTATGCAATTGGCTGGCACGTTTCCCCCACAAAATATAGTCAATTCATTTTACAGTATATTCTATGAAGCGCTTTGAAATGTCTTGAAGACATAAGGCGCTATATCAAATGCAAGGATTATATTATTAAAATTCTATTCTGATCAGCCTATCAATTAGAATAGTTTATGGATTCATTGGCATTGTCTAAACTAGGAATATAAACATCCAAATCTGTGAAAATGTGTAAAATAATCCTTGCAATTTTATTGAAGCAATCATTAAATGCTAAAATACAGGATCATATCAATATCTAAAGTTGCAATTTAATTTCTTAAGTAAGTCAGGGGACAAGCTGTTCACTTCGTCCTTTCACTCCTGGAATGTGGATTTAAATCTAGTTCAAAAGATTATGTAAATTGTATTCTAACTGTCTCAATTGAACACCTCACAAGAATGGCAAATACAGAAAGTTACATAAGGATCAAGATTAAAGTGGACAGAGACATTTGCCTTACATCTTGCACATACTATGAGTCTTTAGCAATTCCTCAATGCTAACACCAGATACTGTACCAAGCTTTAAAAAAAAGGAATCCGTTGGTCAGCGCTAAACATGAACAGCAAAGAAAGAACCTCACACTTCAAAAAATATATTGGTTCATGCTGCCCTAAAACACTCAACACACTTTTTCAAAAACAAATAATACCATAAAAAGTCTCACTTCAATAGAACTGGCGATGTTCAAACATTCTTCCATGCCAGGAATGTCAAGCTGGATAATACGCAAATCTTTACATTTTATAGTTATTGTTCCCAGTGGCCCGGCAAACCTGAAATACAACAACACAGACATGTAGGAAAGGTAGTACTTCCGCGGAGTCCTGTAGATAGTGGTTAGTGCGCTTGCCTCTCTTAACGAGAGGACTCAAGTTCGATTCCCAGGCAGGGTGAAATCTTAAGCAAGTTTCCTTACTCCTCATGCCTCTGTTTACCAAGCAGTAAGTAGAAACACGGTTGTTAGTCGATTGGCGGATCACTTTCCAGGGGTGATAATCCACAAAAACAACCTGGTCACTCAATCCACAATTGTTTGTGGGACACTGCAGTGTGCAATTGGCTGCCACGTTTCACCCACAAAATACGTAGTCACACCATTTTACAATATATTCTGTGAAGTGCTTTGAGACTTGATAAGGAGCTACGTCAAATGCAATACGTTTTTAACCTTTCAACCTTTTCACTGACCCTCCCACTTCCTTCAATACAGAATTCAAGCTGGTCCAAGCCAACCATTTCCAGAACAGGTATCATCATAAGAATAAAACGATTAGAAAAATGTCTCAAGCACATAGAGCTCTTTTCCAGGAGCTTTCTTGGATAGCCATGGAGATCAATCACATTACAAATGTAGCAGATCCTCAGATTTTCATCATATCTTTCCTAAATGACTCACTGGGTACACCTCCTTGAAATTAGCCACTGACATGTGCGTTGCTGCCCATCAAACTAACAGTCCTCCAGGACACATTTGATTTCCCTCCTTCTCGGGTGCCTTGGAGTCCTCTGAACTCCTTCCCCTCTGGGCTTCCTCCCGCAATGACCCATCCATCCTCCTTGGTCACTCTTCTCCACAGCTCCGTCTTCTCCAATCTCGATTCCCTTGCTCCCCTCTCTACCCAAACCGTCTCCTACTCACGTAAGTCACCATAGTACACCAGCCACCTACGCTCCCTTAAAGCACAGGTGCATGCCACTGAACACACTTGGCTTAAATCGAACGTAATGGTCAATCTGCAAATCTGGCTGGACCTTATCAAATCCTACCTCTCCGTCCTCACCTCCACTAAATTGTCATTTCCTGTAGCTCAGTGGTTAGAGCACTCGCTTTGCAAGTGAGAGACCTGAGTTCAATTCCAGGCAGAGGGCGAAACCTTGGGCAAGTTTCCTTACTCCACACAGAGCCTAATAATAATCCCTCCAAAACAAAGCAATAATAAATTGGTCATTTTCAATCTACGACTGTTTGTGGGACATTGCTGTGCGCAATTGGCTGCCGCGTTCGCCCACAAATATACAGTCAATTCACTTCACAGTCTATTCTGTGAAGCGCTTTGGGACGTCCTCCCGACGTGAAAAGCGCTATATCAAATGCAAGGATTATTATTATTATTATTATTTTACTCCAAGACAATCTTAGAGGCCAAGGACAACCCCAGGCTCCTCTTCTATATCACCAACCGGCTACTCCGCCCACCCTCTCACGCCTCATCCATTCTCACCTCCAATGTCAATTGCGAGGCGATGCTGGACTTCCTCGAATCCAAAGTTGAGGGGATCCACTCAGCTGCCTCTGCCCTTCTGTCTACTACCCCCTCCCCATCTCCCCCTCCCACCCGGGCCCCAACCCATCCTTCCCTCCACACCTTTGATCCTGTCTCCCCCTCCTCTCTCGCCATCACTTTAACCCGCATGAAACCAACCACCTGCTCCCTCAACCCCATCCCTACCCCTCTCCTTACCTCCCAGCTCCACCTCCTTACCCCTCTACTCACAGACATCATAAACCTCTCCCTGTCCACTTGTACTGTTCCCACCCAATTAAAAATGGGCTTCATCACTCCTATCATTAAAAAACCCTCCCAGGACCCTCCACTGCTCTCAAACTATTGCCTCTTCTCCAACCTCCCTTTCCTCTCCAAGGTCCTGGAATGAGTTGTTGCTTCCCAACTTCGCTCCCTCCTCTCCCGCCACTCCCTTCAAGAACCCCTCCAATTGGGTTTCCATGCCACCCACAGCACAGAAACAGCCCTGGTCAAAGTGACAAATGACAATCTGTCCATCTGCGACCAGGGCTCCCTCTGCTTCCTCGTCCTCCTTGACCTCTCTGCTGCCTTCGACACCGTTGATCACTTTATCTTCATCCACCATCTCTCCTCTCACCTCAACCTTCACAGTTCTGTCCTTGACTGGTTCAGATCGTACCTCTCACACTGCCTCCACTTCACCTTCACAAATGGTTTCTCCTCTAGCCCCCGCACCGTCTCATAGGGCGTTCCTCAGGGCTCTGGCCTTGGTCCCCTCCTCTTCAATATCTATGTGCTCCCTTTTGGTGACATCACCTGCAGACATGAGGGCAATTTCCACATGTATGCAGATGACACCCAACTGTACCTCACTGCCTCCAGTTGAATGTCAACAAGACCAAGGCTCTCCTGATTGGCTCCCGTCAGTGCCTCCACATCTCAGCCGCTGACAGCATCACCATCCACGGATGCACACTCCACCTTACTAAGCCAGTATTGAACCTTGGCATCTTGTTTGACCCTCAATTGTCCTTTCTACCCCATATCCGTGCCGTGACCCACTCTGCCTTTCCCCACCTCTGTAACATCGCCCAGCTCTGCCACTGTTTCACACCGGAGGCCGCTGAAACCCTCATACGCTCATTCATTACATCGAGGCTTGACTATGCAAACTCCTTGCTTGTTGGCCTCCCCAATTCATCCCTCCATAGACTGCAGACCATCCAGAACTCTGCAGCCCTTGTATTCTCCCGCACCAGGCTTCGTGACCCTATCACCCCCATCCTCGCCTGACTCCCATCACACAGAGAATACAGTTCAAGATCCTGGTCCTCACCTTCAAAGACCTCCATGGTCTTGTTCCCTCCTACCTCTGTGACCTCCTAACCCTACCATCCTGCCCGCTCCCTCTGCTCAGCGGGCTCTGGCCTGCTTCACCTCTCCCGCCCCACCATTGACTTGTGGGCCTTCTGCCACTCTGCCCCCACCCGCTGGAACTCCATCCTGCAGTCCCTCCGCCTTGGCCCCTACCTTGCCTGCTTCAAGACCCATCTCAAGACCCTCTTCGACTGTGCTTTCGATCACGCTGCTTCGCCCCCTGCCCTCCACCTTCCCTAATCCTGACCCCCAGCTCAGATCCGAAACTCGCACTGTCCAGCGACATCCTCATATGGGACCAAAACCTTGTCTAGCGTCTTGGGACGTCCTCCAGACGTGAAAGGCGCTATACAACTGTAATCTTGTTGTTGTTGTCCTCCCGACATGAAAGGCACTATACAAATGTAACTTTTGTTGTTGTTGATATTCTAACATTGAGTGTCCCCTAGAATGTGCTGGAGAACCCTTTCTTTTCCCTTCCATCACGATTCTCACTGATGATGTCTATGAAGGCCACAGCACTGGACTGCTCACAGCAGCTCACTGCTGGCGGTGCTGGTTACACCTTATTGTTTTGCATAAAAGCTGGTTTCAGCTCAAAAAGCTGAATGCTCCAGACCAGTTTCATGGCCATTACCACTGAGAATCATGGGTGTGTGTGTTTGTATATATGGGAAAGGAGGGAGGAGGGCTGAAAAGAGAGGTTGTTATCAACATATCCAGGAAGTGTTCAATGCATTTAACATCAAATGCATTGGTAAATTGACCACACTGTCGTGTCAACATACTTTCTTTGCACTATCTCAACCACTTTCTTAAGGCCACATATATTCAGAAAATATGTATAGCAATGTCCCACAAACAGCCATGACATCAAAGACCAATTTTATCTGGGGAGTGGTCAGTTTGAACACTTGGAGGAACTATCTTGTCTTTTCAAATAGTGCCATGGACTATAACAATCAATCACTGACACCCCCACCCACACCCACAATATCATTCTCAACTATGAAATCCATAAAACTGGTCTGAGGCATTCAACAACTTGTATGTATATAGCGCCCTTCGCTCTGGGCAGCAGCATGGTGAGCACTTATTGAGCTGAAACTAGATTTTTACAAAAATCCAAAGATTACAGAATACTAAAATATAAACATTTAATATAGCATCTTGCCGCATTGGTGAGACATCTCAAAGCATTTCACAGGAATTACCATACAGTGAAGTGACTGTGTATTTGTAGAGAAACAGAGCAGCCAATTTGCACAAGGCAATGTCCTGTCGTGGTTAGCACTCTTGCCTTGCAAGTGGGAGAACCCGGGCTTGATTCCCAGGCAGGGCAAAACCTTAGGCAAGTTTCCTAGTTCCACACACCCCTGTTTACCTAGCAGTAAGTAGAAACCTGGTTGTTCGTCAATTGGCGAGTCGATTTATAGGGGTAATAAACCCTGAAAAAAAATTGGGTCACTCAATCGATGACTGTTTGTGGAATACTGCTGAGTTCAATTGGCTGCTGCGATTCGCCCACAAAAGATAGCCAATCCACTTTGCAATATATTCTGTGAAGCGTTTTGAGATGTCTCAATGATGCTATATCAAATGCAAGGATTATTATTATTATTATTATTACAATAAATGACAATAAATAACCAATTCTAGCTGTGGATTGTTGGTAGGAGAAACTTCTGGATCTATTAAAATAGTGTGAAGGGATCTTTACATCCACCCGAAAAGGCAGATGGGGACCTTGATATAACATCTCACCTCCGATTAGGCTGCACACCCCACGGATCGCATTGGATTGACAGCCTGCACTGTGCACCGTGAGCTCAAAGTCCCGATGTGGGGCTTGAACCCCAAATCTTGTGACTCGGGGGCAAGAGCGTTACCCACCGCGCCAGCCCGACACCCACCCTGGCTGTAAATATCTAAAGGGGCCAAATGTAGTTCCTGAGTGGGAGGTCTGTCAGCTTCGATGCATGTTCAGGTTTGGGAGAAGTGCCCTTAATATTTTCCAGCCCTGGGCTTAATCTCCATCGCGACACTCACCCGTGAGGGCGACGGAGCCTCGGACTGAGAGGCTCCTGTGGCTAACATTTACATTGCGGCTTAAGAGCGCCTCCGTTTAGACATTACACAAAGGGAGGAGTGACGGGGGCACCTCTTGTCGATGCTGTCGATGTCGGAGTGGAGCAGCCACAGCTCCTCGCTGCTGTCCTGGCGCGAGGACAGGATCAGGTGGTGGCCGGTCAGACACAGCGTCCCCTCCACCCGCGGCAGGAAGGGCCTGTGCAGCACCGCGCCGTCCACCCGCGGCGTCTTGATCAGCTCCGCGAACTCCATCTCTTGTCTGTCTGTCTCTCTCCCCCCCGCCGGCCCGTCCTCTCAGCGCGGCTCACGCGGCGCGGGGTGGGCTGTGCTTCTCTACAACCAACAGTGATGACGAACTGCAGCCCGCGGCCTGTCCGCCCGCCCGCCTTCACAACAACAACCGCCGGAAACCCGTGCAACCCGGAAACTCGTCCGGAAGCGCGTGCTTACCCCTTCCCCCCACACCACCACCCCGGACAATCGTTCCGCTCCCACACAGTTCCCCTCCTCCCAGTGACATCACCGCTGGCGGCGTACGCATGCGCTCTTTGAATGACATTTCTTGTTGGCGTGGCAGTGCAGGAGCAGTGGGAGGGTCCACTCACCATGAGGTCACGTGTCACAGTAATAATAATAATAATAATCCTTGCATTTGATATAGTGCTTTTCATGTCAAGAGGACATCCCAAAGCGCTTCACAGAACACATTGTAAAGTGAATTGACTGTATATTTGTGGGCGAACGCGGCAGCCAATTGCGCACAGCAATGTCCCACAAACAGTCGTAGATTGAAAATGACCAATTTATTATTGTTTTTGGTTTTGGAGGCATTATTATTAGGCTCTGTGTGGAGTAAGGAAACTTGCCCAAGGTTTCGCCCTCTGCCTGGAATTGAACTCAGGTCTCTCGCTTGCAAAGCGAGTGCTCTAACCACTGAGCTACAGGACTCCATCATCCTTACCTATGTTATATAGCGCCTTATCATCTATATGTGAGGTTGATAACGGAGGGGGTGAATGAAGGTAGTGCAGCCGGTGTAGTTATATGGATTTTCAAAAGGCATTTGATAAATAATAAATAATCCTTGCATTTGATATAGCGCTTTTCACGTCGGGAGGACGTCCCAAAGCGCTTCACAGAACACACTGTTAAGTGAATTGACTGTATATTTGTGGGCAAACGCGGCAGCCAATTGCGCACAGCAATGTCCCACAAACAGTTGATAAAGTGCCACATAAGAGACTTGTAAGCAAAATAGAAGCCCACGGTATTAAAGGCACAGTGGCAGCGGATACAGAACTGACTGGGAGACAGACAGCAAAGAGTGGTGGTGAACGGTTGTTTTTCTGACGGGAGGGGAGTGTGCAGTGGTGTCCCCCAGAGGTCAGTATTGTGACCACAGCTGTTTTTGATCTATATAAATGACCTGGACTTGGGTATCAGCAGTACGATTTACAAGTTTGCAGATGATATTAAAATAGGAAAAATAGTAAACAGTGAGGAGGACAGTATCAGACTGCAAATAGACATAGCCAGACTGGTAAAATGGGCAGACACGTGGCAGATGAAGTTTAATGTGGAAAAATGTGAAGTGATGCATTTTGTGAGGAAGAATGAAGAGAGGCAATATAAGCTGATGGTAGAATCTTAAACGAGGTTAAGGAACACAGAGACCTGGGGATTCATATAAGTAAATCTTTGAAGGTGGCAGGACAGGTAGACAAAGCTGTTAAAAAAGCATACGGGATACTAGGCTTTATAAATAGGGGCATAGAATATAAAACGCAGGAAGTCATGATGAACCTTTATAAAACACTGGTTAGGCTTCGGCTAGAGACTGTGTTCAGTTTTGGGCACCACACTTTAGGAAGGATGTCAAGGCATTGGAGAGGGTGCAACTGAGATTTACCAGGATGGTACCAGGAATGAGGAACTTCAGCTATCAGGAGAGGCTAGAGAGCCAGGATTATTCTCCTTGGAGCAAAGAAGGTTAAGAGGAAACTTAATAGAAGTTTTCAAAATTATAAGGGGTTTCGATAGGGTGAACAAGGAAAAATTATTTCCACTGGTGGGTCAGTAACCTGAAGACATTTTTTCACAGAGCAAGTTGTTTGGATCTGGAATGCATTGCCTGAAAGGGTGGTGGAAGCTGATTCGATAACAACGTTTAACAACAACAAGAAGATTCCATTTGTAGAGCGCTTTTCACATCGGGAGGACGTTTAAGAGAGAAGTAGATAATTATTTGGGGAGGACAAGTTTGTAGGGCTATGGGGGGAGATCGGGGGAGTGGGATTGAAATGTATAGCTGTTTTCAAAGAGCCGGCACAGACACGATGGGCCGAATGGCCTCCTTCTGTGCTGTATGATTCTATAAGGTCATGGTACAGAAGTGGGGGAGAAAGGACAGTTGAGAGTCAAACAAGACACCAAGGTTCCAGACTGGCTCGGTGAGGTGGAGTGTGCATCCTTGGATCACTTTGCAAGCGAGAGACCTGGGTTCGATTCCCGGCAGGGCTAAACCTTGGGCAAGTTTCTTACTCTACACGCCTGATAATAATCCCTCAAAATAAAAAAAAATTGTCACTTCAATCCACGACTGTTTCTGGGACCCTGCTATGTGCAATTGGCTGCCGCATTTCGCCCATAAATATACAGTCAATTCACTTTACCGTCTATGCTGTAAAGCTCTTTGAGACGTCTAGAAGACGTGAAAAGCGCTATATCAAATGCAAGGATTATTATTGTTATGGTGATGCTGTCAGCGGCTGAGGTGTGGAGGTGTGGAGAGCATCCAATTAGTCCAATCAGAAAATTAAAGGGTAATAATATAAGGTGGGGAATAAACAGTGTCTCCTTGTAACTGAACTGGCTGAAAGATATCATGGTTGGCAATGGAATGTTGGAATAGAGTTGACTCTCTGTGGCAGTCTCAGTAGTCAGTTCTTGAGCCAGACGGGATCACAGTAGTCCAGGGCACTGCTGATGGCAGCCCAGCCATCTTGGCTCATTGGCAGGACTTGAATGAAACAAGCAGCGGGAAGTTTGCGACACAGAGCTTTCAATGGCAAACTAGTTAATTTCCAGCAGTGCCCGATGAACACTCTTGAGACCCCATGCTATGGCTCTTGCCAAACTGTGCCTAAAACTCTCTAGAAGTAGGTAAACAAGACAAGAAAGAATATGAAGGGGTCAGGAAAATAGTCAAAAAAACAATTAGGAAGGCAAAGAGGAATTATGAAATTAAATTATCAAGGAATATAAAATAAATAGTAAAATATTCTACAGATGTATAAATAACAAAAAAAACCATAACAGGAATAGGGACTAATGGATGGACAAGATAAGCTCACAGGCCACGACAGCGAAATGGCAGAAACATTAAATAATTACTTTGCCTCAGTATTCACCAGGGAGACGGATCAGGTGGACATGACAGTAGAAGAAGAGATCGAAAATAATATAAATACATTTAAGATACAAAGGGGAGATATAATCGAAAAACTAACGAAACTCAGGATAAAATCCCTGGTCCAGATGGATTGCATCCATGTATATTAAAAGAATCGAGGGAAGAGATAGCAGAGGCACTATTACACATATATAATAACTCATTAGAAAAGGGAGTAGTGTCAGAGGACTGAAGGAGAGCTAATGTTATACCTATATTTAAAAAGGGAGATAGAGCAAGCCCAGGGAACTATAGAACTGTCAGCTTAACATCGGTGGTAGAAAAGATAACGAAATCCTTACTGAAGGAGGTAATAGAAAAATCTAGAAACGGAAAACATAATAAAGAATAGTCAGCACAGATTTCAAAATGGAAGGTCATGCTTGACCAACCTCATTGAATTCTTTGAAGGGGTAACAGAAAGAGTAGACAAGGGTAGATTTCCAAAAGGCGTTCGATAAGGTACCGCATACTAGACTAATGAATAAGGTCAGAGCATGTGGAGTCAGGGGAAAAATAGAATGGATAGCAAGCTGGCTGCAAAACAGAGAGCAGGGGTAAAGGGTAGCTACTCAGACTGGCAGGGGGTGGGCAGTGGTATTCCACAAGGATCGGTATTGGGATCACTGTTGTTCACAATATACATTAATGATTTGGATTTGGGAATCAGCAGTACAATTTCAAAATTTGCGGACGACACCAAATTGGGGGGAGTAGTTAATACAGAGAAGGACTACAACAAATTACAGCAAGACATTAATAACTTGTTGAATGGGCATTTAAATAGCAAATGCATTTCAATGTAGAAAAGTGTGAGGTGGTACATTTTGGTAGAAGGAATAAGGAAGTCTCATACATCCTGGAAAATAAAAACCTAAATGGGGTAGAGGAGCAAAGGGATCTAGGGGTACACATACACAATTCACTAAAAGTAGTAATGCAGGTTAATAAGGCCATAAAAAAAGCAAACCAGGCATTGGGGTTCATTTCTGGAGGAATAGAAATAGTAAACTGCTATAGACCCTTGGCTAGACCACACTTAGTACTGTGTGCAGTTCTGGTCCCCACATTATAGAAGGGATGTATAGGCACTGGAGAGGGTGCAAAGGAGATTCACAAGGATGATCCCAGAACTGAGAGGTTATACCTATCAGGAAAGGCTGAACATACTTGGACTCTTTTCTCTTGAAAAGAGAAGGCTAAGGGCTGACCTGATAGAGGTCTTTAAAATGATGAAAGGTTTTGATAGGGTGGACATGGGAAAGATGTTTGCACTTGTGGGGGAGACCAAAACCAGGAGCCATCAACATAAAATAGTCACAAATAGATCAAATAGGGAAATTAAAATAAATTTCTTCACACAGAGAGTAGTGGGAATGTGGAACATGCTTGTTGAGGTAAATAGCATAGATGTATTTAAGGGAAAGCTAGATAGGTACATGAAGGAGAAAGGAATAGAAGGTTGTACTTGAAGGCTCAGTTGAGGAAAGGCAGGAGGAGGCTCATGTGGAGCATAAACACCGGCATAGACCAGTTGGGCTGAATGGCCTGTTTCTGTGCTGTATATTCTAATGTATTCTAAGGTGTTTATATAAGCTCCACGGGGTTCTACGGTAGGCAACTGATTGGTCTACTGAGGCAAAATGTTTGGACATCTACAATGACTGCTCTGCACTTTCAATTTCTGTACAATTTGCTGCAAGTAATTCCTTGGTAACTTTGCATTACTGACATCGCAGAGCAGGTTAATACTTTGTTGTCAATGCTACAGTTTTGAAAGAGTTTTCTGACAACCGTTTTAAAAAAAGCCAGAAAGTATACTTTTTTAAAACTTGAAAATATCAGATACTATCTGGTGGTGTTGTAATCTAATTTCAAATTATATTTGCACGGTAGCTTTATGACTCACTCTTAGGTGTCCCATACTCTTTGTTTGTTTGTTTAATAGTCATTAGTTTGTCTGTT